CTGACCTCCTTCCACAGATGGCCTGGCCCTGGGTGCACTGGTCTGGCACCTTGGATCTGCCTTTCTGCCCCCTGCCCAGCGTGGCAGACAACCTCTCTCCCTCCAGCAGACTGGTCTTGTCCGGTGCCCAGCGCCCCCCAGCCCCTCCTAGCCGGACCTCCATCTGTATGGCATTTACTAGGGGATACCCCCAGGGATGGCATTACTGACGGCAGCATGTTTCTTTCCCATCTGGACTCAGCACAGCGTGAACAAACACGGAAAAGGCACTTACAGAACCAAGATGCCGGAAGCTGGGGGGATCCTCACCTCCCTTTACACGCAAGGAAACCTCAGCCCGGTTACAGAGGAGAGTGGGCCCAGCCCCTCCCATCCCCCCACCACGGGCCCTGAACCAGAGCCTAGGAGGCTGCCCGGAGCTCCATCTCAGGAGACCTGGTAAGACGATGCTTGAATGAACTTGGGAATAGGTTCCACATGAGCACAGGAGTCTGGGCAGGCAGGTGGGCAGGGTGGCTGGTCTGGCCCTGGACACACCTCCTGCCCTGGAAACCACCTGTGGCCAGCGGGCAGCCCTGTGTGCCGCAGACCCACTTGGCATCCCCAGCACTATGCAAGGGAGGGCTGCCCCACCCTGCCCGATCCAGAGGCCAAGAGATCAGAGACCTGGCATTGGCCTTCAAGCTTTTATTGTCTCATTTACAGGTGAGGAAACTGAGGCCCAGAAAGAGGGGTGAGGGCCTGACAAGTCAAAGCAAGGTGGAGGCTGGCACCGCCCATGAGCTCGTCCCGCAAAGCCAGCCCCAGCCTCCCTGAGGCTTCCCACTCTGGGCTCTCCCACAGGTAACACCTGCCAATAGGTGTGCAACTCACTTGTCCTGGGAAGGAAAACCCGCCAGTGTTCTCATCCCCCAAGCCCTATGATCCTCATCCAGAGAACAGGCTCAACTAGAGGGGTTCAAAGGTCAAGAGTGGGAGGAGCTCACACAGAGGCACTGACCCACCTCCTGGAGGCGCTCCGGGCAGCCTTCTCACCTGCTTCTGTAACACCTGGAGCCTGTACCCCAAGGAGGAAGGAAAACTGCTTTGGTAACCAGAAAACAGAAGTCCACATACAAAAGAGTCTACATAAAAAATGTCTAGGAGAAGGAAATGGCAACCCACTCCAGCACTGTTGCCTGGAGAAGCCCTTGGACAGAGGAGCTGGGCGGGCTACAGTCCATGCATTTGCAGAGTCAGACATGACTGAGCTACTGACACACACACGAAATTGAGGAGATGCTTGGTGGCACAAGTGTACACTTTATCTGTTCTCCCATCTCCTGCAGGAAGCAGGATGGGGCAGGCAGCACCAGTGGGCAGGATGGCTTGCCCCATCCCCCATCCCTCCAGGAAGTCTTGGGGCCTCAGTGCCTGCAACAGCTGGCCTTGGGCAAATAAAAGACTAAGTTGTTAAAAAAAAAAAAAAGTCTATATATTTCTAAAAATAGAAAACACAGAAAAGACCAATATTTCATTGGACCAGGGTGGTCAAGAGTGGCTTCCTGTAAGAGGCGGCTCACACTGGGCCCTAAAGATAAGGGGCAGTCCCAGGGGATACCCTCAACCCTTGCGGTGGCCCTGCCATAGAAGGCAGTCCCCTGCGGCTGCACACACAGCAGGGGGCCCCTCTCTCTCTCCATCTCTGAGCACTGAGAGTGTTAGAGGAGTGACACTGCCCAGGAAGCAGCCCCACAGCCAGGACCCAAGACGTTCCCCGCCGCTCCATCAGCACTTCCTCTGCAGGACCCTTCCCACTGGCACATGCTGGTGGGGTGGCTGCCGGCAGGATGACCACTGGGGGCCGTCAGCTCCTGGGCTGACCCCAGCCCCTCCCTGATCACACTGATTCCTCGGGGCCCATCAGCTAGACACCTGAGTCCTGCAACGTAATCAGTCCTGGGAGTGGGCAGGGGCTGCCAAGGCCGAGTCTCCTCCCTAAGGTGGCAGAGGAGAGCAAGACCCACCCCCAGCTCTGAGGGATCTCTGAACGGGACAGCCTGGGCTCAGTGCTGGCTCCAAGAGCCTGGCAGCCCAGGAGCTGAGGTGGACTCTCAGGTCTGCGTTCGTAACAGGGGCCCCCATCCTAGGACTGTCTTCCCACTGCCTTCCTGCCTGCCTCAGGGCGGTGTTGAGACAGTGATGGTGAATACCCTACATAGAGGAGGAAGTGTCCCCATTCTAAACAGTGACACAGCAGCGACAGTCAGGCTGGCAGGTGACGCGGCGTGCGGTGGGCGTGCCCGAGAGGCCAGAGCCCCATCCCGCAGGAGGAAGCCATGTTGCCGCCCTGCACGTGTTTGCCAGTCAGTGATACAGTTACCACCTTCTCACCACCTGCCTTGCCGCTACAGTGCTTCCTTCAGGTTGCCCCTGTCCCGTTAGGTCAAGAGTTGGAGGTGGGGCTGTTCCCGGAGAAATCACAAAGTGTTCTGTCCTGAAGTCTCTATAGAAGCTTTTGGCTCTGGGTCCTGACGCCCCCCAGGGCTGTAGGGACAACAGGTGAAATGATGAAGGCTGTCACCCTTCCTGGGACGGGGGACTGGGGAGTCTCTGATATATGAGGAACTGGAAGTGGGATTTGGGAGGCGAGGGGTGCCCTAGGATAACCCAAACCCTCAGATGGCCTCATCCAGCACCCACCACTCACTTTGAAAACACTGCAGAACTAACCATTTCTACCGAAGCTCGTCACAGAGCAAGGGGTGCTCAGAAGGCAGCAGGGCGACCATCCCACCTCCAGCCAGCAGCACAGCAAGATTCCTCCGGAGCTACCCAGCCCAGAGAGCCGGCCTCCGGCCTCCACCCTCTCAGGTGTCACTGGGCAGGGCTCTCGGCCAGCTCTACATCACCCTCCCCTGAAGCTCAAGAAAAAACATGCAAGTCCAAGTCCTATACCCAGACACAGAATCCGTGTGGGGTGTGGCCTGGGTATCCGGGTTTTAATTAATAGACTTTATTTTGGGGGACAGTTTCAGGTTTACAGAAAAACTGAGCCAAGCACACAAAAAATTAGTCATCAGGATGTGAAAAGCTCCCAGGAGATACCAATACAGCCCAGGTGGGAACCCTGAGTAGCTCCACCCCGCACCCAGAGAACTAGAGACCTACCCTCCCCCCAACTTCATCACCCACTTGAGTTCAGCCAAGGGCCCGAAGAACACAGATTAATTCTCGGGTCAACAAACTCCAGCTCCCGGTCTGAGCCTGGCTCCACTTGTTTTGCTGCAGCCCACAAGCTAGGAGTGGTGTTTACATTTTTTAATGGCTGGAAAAAATATCAGAAGAGTTGATGATGTGAAAATATTTACTATCCAGCTCATCAGAGAAATGTCTCCTGACCCTGAACAAGGAGACTGCACCATGGGGGGAGGCATGCCCTTCAGGAGGGAGGCCCCTCCCACACAAGCCAACCCGATTCCCCTCATGTCTTCAGAGGATAAGGAGGCTGCAGGTGTGCTGTGGGGCCGTCAGAGGCGAGCCTGCAGTGAGAAGGTTACAGGCTTCTGAGCCCGACCTCCAGCTGGGTCTCTTCTGCTGGCCTGTTAATGTGTGTTTTCCAGAGGCGAGAGGAGAAAGACAGGCCGGCTGACCCTGCGCTCTTCCCAGCACATCCTGGGCTGTTCTGTCCACACAAGGCTGACTCAGACCCTCCTCCCTAACCTCAATGGTTTTCATTGATTCCTGTCCTGAAATTTTTCCCAAGTTTCACCACCTTTCTCTGCTACAAATCAAAACAGTCTGTGTGGGAGCTGGTGCTGGCTGCTCCGGGTCCCCACATTCCTGGCCCACTGGAGCCCACGCCCACCTATGACAGAAGCGGCAGAGTCCACCTGGAGAGATTTAAGAGGCTGTGAAAAGGCTTTCAGAGTAAAACCACCAACACCCACCACGGTCTGACGGATTTCCACCCAACAGAGACTCACAGTGCAAACCATTCCCTGTTTCTCTGAATTAATCAGACCACTTTTCAGCTCACATCCAGTAGAGGCAGCCCCAGAGGAGGGAGCTGGGGAGGAGGGCTGGCTTGTGAAGAGTGAAAGGAGGCTCCAGCACTGTGCCCTGGGCACAGGGAGGCTAGGAGGGGTGCAGAGGGGAGGGGCCTTGAGCAACAAGAACCACAGACAGAGCTTTCCGGAAGGGGTGCAGATGACAGCATAAGCCGGGACACTGATGCCCGGGTGGGGACCTCAGCTCTGGCACCAAGACCAGAGTCTTCTGGGGTCACCCTCTCCCCCAGCCCAATTCAGAGCCACCCCCGGCCCCTCCCGCAGCTCTAGAGCCCAGCGGAGGAGCCAGGGCACCAGGAAGGCAGGGAGGAACCCGAACTATTTTTTCCAGAGCAAGGGCCTGCCCTAGTCTGGCCGGGGGTGGGGACGGGAAGGGGAAGAGAGAGGGGGGCCGAGCCCAGGGCACAACGACGTTAGTTCTGCTCCAGAGGCTCCAGATTAAACAGCTCCAGGCAGGAAGCCCGCCTTCTCCCAGATTGGTCAGGAAGTCGTGATGCAAGTTTGCGCTTTTTTTTTTTTTTTTTAACACGAAAGAGAAAAAGAGATTCGTGCCCCACTCACCGACGCCCCAGCCCCTCCCATGGGGGCCGACATTCCTCCTCCCTGCCCCTGGGTCCCTACCCCCAGCGCCGCGGGCCGAGGCACCCGCCGCCCTCTTCGGGGGGCGCTCGCCGCCGGCCTTCGTGGGCGCCAGAGTGCCATCTGCCCGCCACCCCGCCGCCGCCCTCCCAGCCTGGCGCTCGGACGGGGCCCCGGCCTTCCCGGCGGGCCCGGCGCTCTCATGCTTCTGGAATGCGGGCGCCCAGGGCCGCGCGTCCCGGGGAATCTCCGCGCCCGCCCGCGCACCATCCTCGGCCCGACCATTCTCGCCGGGTTTCCCGGCCGGAATGCCGGGAGCGGCGACGCAGACCCCGTCCCAGTCCAGAGCCCGCCGCGCACGCCCCCACTCACCGGCCAGAAGAGCGAAGGGCAGCAGCAGCCAGTACAGGACGGCGCCGAGCACGTGCGGCTCCATGCCCGAGGGGCCCCGGGGCCGGCCAGGGTCGGTCGGCCGGCGCGGCGCTAAGGGGCGGTGCGGGGGAGCCCCGGCCGGCGCATGGCGCACAGGGCGGGTCGCCGCACGTGCCGCGCGCCGCGGCCAGGACCCCGGCTGGTCAGCAGGGACCCGAGCGCCTCCGCTTCCTCCTGCTCCTCCTCCCAGGGCCGTGGTCCGCAGCGCCCCGCCGGTGCGGACGGCCGGGGTCCGCGCTCTCTCCGGTGTCAGCCCTGCCCCGCGGCGGAGCGCTGCGCGCGGCTCTTGACTCTCTCGGCGGCTCGCGGAGGCCGAGCAGGGCGGGACGCGGCTCGGCGGCTCCCTCCTCCCTCGGCCAGCCCGTGGGCCTTTATAAGCTGGGCCCCCGCCCTCCCGGCGTGCCCGCCCCCGCGCCTCCCCGACGGCCCGGCGCGCCCCGGCACCCACTCTGCGGCTCCACGCGGCCCGCGCCCCGCACTGGCCCTCACGGTACGGGGTGGCCAGTGGGGGTCGGAGACCCCTGCTCGGCGCACTTCCCTAGAAGACTCCCCCACAGCCTTGCCAGCATTGGCGGGACCGCTCGGAGTCGCGTGGGTGCGGGCGGGGGCAGCTTCCTCCCTGGCCGTCGCTGCCCGGAGCACTCCGTAAAGGTGCCCCAGCCCAGGCTTCTCGGACAGCACCCACTCACAAGTGCGCCCCGGGTGGCAGGAGCAGCTGAAACCTTGCTCCCCCAGCCCGCAGCGCCCCCTGGAAACCGTGGAGTGGCTCGGAGGCCCCGCTCGCAGGGCCGCAGCCGGGCTGGGGCTCGGGTGGGAGGCCCCGTGAGGTCCAACGAGGACTGGGGGCGCTTCCACCGGCGCCTCTGCCTGCCGCCACCACCACCACCACCACGGGCCCTGCCGTAAGAAGGAAATGAGAACGTCCCTTGGGTCAATAGGCCAGGGTCTGAATCCAGGCTGCACAGGCATTTCACTTGGCCACCCCAGTTTGGCCTTCTCCACCTTGAGCTGGGCTGGGAAAGGAGAAAAAAATAGCCACCCAGTGTGCGAGGCAGAGCCCACGAGGTGGCAGGACTCAGGGCCCGAGGACACCTGAGGAAGCCGGTGCTGCCTGACCAGCTCCAACATAGGCCCAGACCCTCCCACTCCTCAAGTCAGAAACTTTCAGTGGACTTGCATGAAATCTAGGATTTCAGTGCTGATCGCATTTCTCCCTGCCTCTCTGCTTGCTCCTTCCTGGAGTCATGTCTGACCCCGGACTCTTTCTGGACCCCTTGAGACTTTAGCCTCAGGGTTCCTCCCCAGGTCAGAACCCCAAGGAGTCTGGGGACATGGGGCTGAGCTAACTGAGAGTGCCAGGCCTGCCTGTAAGTGCTACCTATTCCCAGCCTCTAGAGATGGCTGGAACCTGGCCACCAGAGTTGTCCCTTAGCAAGGAGGTGGCCAGCGTCTCTGAGCAGCACCAGCATCAACAGAAAAAACTGAAGGACAGCCCACAGCAGCTCCCCTGGGTGCCGGCCTTCTGCCCAGAAGGCCACCCGCCTCTCCAAGCCTCAGGGGACATCCGTGAGCTGGGGTGGGGGCTCAGCTGCAAAACTGTGAATATTTCAGACAAGGCCACGTAAAAGTGATGTGAAGTGACACACACCCCTGAGGGGTCACCAACAGCCCCCAGGTGACCTTCCATCATCCTTCTTTCCTGGGGTATGGGGTGGAGAGAAGGGGGCAGAGGGAGTGGGGCTTGCCCAGAGAAATGGCAGAACAGACTCAGCATCAGGGTCAGGGGTCCCCGAGCCCTGTCCTCTGCCTGGCCTGCCCTCGGCATGACCAGGGGCCGCCAAGGGCCCCTCTCGGGACCTGGGACACAGGGCCTTGTCTGCATAAAGGGTTTAAATGTGAAAACAACAAAAAGTTTAAAAACCAATCCCTTAAGCTGAGTCCATCTAAGGCCTGGGGTACAAGGTTCTAGACTCTGTCCCAAGAGCAAAGCCTGAGAGAGAAGCAGGAGGACTCAGAAAATGAAGATAAGGGGAGGAGAGCCCTGGGCGAGCAGGCCCCCAGACCTACCACGGCTTCAGGGACCTGGCTCACAGCACTTCCCACCTTCCAGTCTGGCTCCAGAACAGAGCGAGAACTCTCCCTGCAAAGGAGCACAAGGTATGCTTCCAAGAATTGTAAGCAGCAAGATTGGGAAAAAACTAACTGTTCTGGCCAAGTTAGGAGCCCTTAAAGAAATCACAGTGTATCCTGCAGTGGAGGCTTCAAAGCAGTTAAAGACCCAAGCGATTCTCTGTGAATCAACATGCAACAATCCCTAAGATACAGTGTTACAACTGGGGAAAGCAGCGGCCTGGGACCCAGCCTGCAGCAGATATTCCACTCTCTGGGAAGCATACAAGCCTTAACCAAGCTTGGGGGGTTGCTATCAGATAGGAGGAACAAAGATTGCTGAAATGCCCTTTTGTGTGTGTTTTTGTTTTTTTTGTTTTTTGCTGCACACATGTATCATCTATTCACACAATAAATTTTATATGAGCACAGTGGGGACAGATTCTCAGCAGAACTTCCCCACCTGCCAACTTGCCAAGTATCAGGTGGGGGGAATACTGGCTGTTCAGTAACACAGGTTCTAATCTTTTGCAGAGGAGGACACAGGGGCCTGACAGGGGGACATCAGCTGCCAAAGGCCATGCCAGGCCTTGAGGGTTCCTAATTCCAAGTCCAAAGCCATTTCTGCCCCACCACCCCATGGCTTGGGGTCCTACCACACTTGTTAATTAAAACAGAAATTTAACCACTATGGAGAACAGTATAAAGGTTCCTTAAAATCTAAAAATAGAGCTACCATATGATCTAGCAATCTCACTCCTGGGCGTATGTCCAGAGAAAACCACAATTCAAAAAGATACAGGCACCCCAATGTTCACTGCAGCACTATTCACAATAGCCAAGACATGGAAGCAACCTAAATGTCCATCAACAGAGAAATGGATAAAGAAGATGTGGTACATATATACAGTGGAATACTACTCAGCCATAAAAAGAGTGAGATAATGCCGTTTGCAGCAACATGAATGGACCTAGAGATTATCATACCAAGAGACAAATTTCATATGGTATCACTTAAAAAATACAACTGAACTTATTTAAATAAGTCACAACTTATTTACAAAGACTATTTGAAGAAACAGACTTACAGACTTTGAAAACAAACTCATGGTAACCAAAGGGGAAACACAGTAGGGGGGATAAATTTGAAGAGTTTGGGATTAACATATACACACTGCTATATGTAAAATAGATAAACAATAAGGACCGACTGTATAGGAGAGGGAACTCTACTCAAAATTCTGTAATAACCTACATGGGAAAAAAACATGGAAAAGAATGGGTATATGTTGGTATAACTGACAACTGTATACCTGAGACTAACACAACATTGTAAATCAACTACACTCCAATATAAAATAAAAATTAAACTTAAAAAATAGTACTTAAGTCGTGGAAGAGCAGGAACTGTCAGGTCCCTCATGGAGAGAGGAAGGTCCAGGGCAAGAGCATCATCAGAGGGGATTTTATCATTCAGGCCTAACTTTTCCCCAAGGAGATCACAGTTATCCTTGCCTGTCTCTATACTTACAAATTATTTCTAAAAGAACCCAGATACTCATGAACAGATGAATGAGTAAACCAAATGTGATCCCTCCACACAATGAAACATTATTTGGCCATAAAAAGGAAAGTTCTATTGCTACTACAACCTGGATAAACTCTGGGAACATTCTGCTCAGTGAAAGAAGTCAGATACAAATGGACAAGTATTACACAGTCCCACTTATATCTAAAATAGACAAATTCATAAAAGCAGGAGCTAGATTAAGGGTTCCTGGGGCTGAAGGGAGGAGGGAATGGGGAGTTATTACTTAACGGGTATGGTCCTTCCTTTTGGGATGATGAGGAAGTTCAGGAAATAGGGGTGGTAATTACACAACAATGTGAATGTACTTGACGCCACTCAATTGCATGCTTAAAAATGGTTAAAATAATACATCTTGTATTATGGATTTTTCGCACTTTAAACAACTAATGTGGGGGATTTGCATGTAGCTAAGAAGGTTTCCCTGTAGCCTACACTGAGGCTTCCTCCACCAGGAGCTTCTCTAGAGGCTACCAAGTTGTCTGTTTCTTCTGGATGTGGTTTTCCTGATTCCTGCCCAGAGACTTGATGAGATTGGGGATTATTTTTTAATTTCCCCGAGTACATTCCCACTGAATCTCCCCAGACCCCTTTCCTGGAAACAAGACCAGGAATCGATCAGCAGAAAATAAACCTTAGTCGTGCTCCTGTCAGTGGATCCCAGGCCAGGCTCCTTCTTCAGGACACGTCCCCCCAGAGCCCCCTCCCATCCACCTGCCCACCTGGAACTGGTCAAAACCCCATTTCCCTGCTCCCCAAAGGCCTAGCCCATGGCTCAGGACATGACTGGACCAGAGTCAGCACTGGTGCTTGGTTCTGAACTCAATGCTCCCAGCTGGTCTGGAATCTGCCTGCTGACCGCACGGGCCAGCTGAGTCCAGAGGCTGGAAATCGGCGCCTACAACACAGAAACGTGCCTATGGGGCCTGTGGCCACAAGCCCTTCACGAGCCACCACCAGGAATTGCGTGGGCACTAAACCCGCACTGTGGGAGAGGTGGCCTGGTGAGTAACTGCGTTTTCCATGTGAAGCCAACTTTCAGAAGTTGGTCAGTGGTTTCCCTACCCCCATCTCAGCAGCCAAACTGGACTCCAGCTGGACAGGATGACAGAGGGACTGGGCCAGAATGGCCTGGTGGTGCTGATGGCCCGGCCCCAGGAGGCAGATACTGCCCAGCTGCAGTGACAAATGGGGCTAGCGCCCAGCATCCTGTGGCTGACAGGCCAACAGGGACAGTAGGCTGAGGGGCCTCACAGAGGTGACAGGCACGGCTGAGACTCACGGCTCTGCCCAGACCCCTGCTCTGCCTGGGAGGGTGGTGGACGGGGACTATGCAGACAGCAGGGGGCACTGGCAAAGGAGAGGGGGCGGCCAGGGGCAGAGGCGAGGCTGAAGCACAGCCCTTCACGTGAACTGAGGTAATTTCCACCATCCCCATGAACTGGGGTCATTTCCACCATCAGATAGTTCTTGGGATTATGAGAATAGGGATGCTGTGAAAAATGTCCAGCACCAAACTTGCACAAAGCAGGTGACTGAGGAAACAGAGGAGGCAGGTGACTGTGGGGCAAGAGTGAGATGGCCTGTCACCCCTTCACTGATTAGCACCTGGGGGCCTGGGGTCAACATTGCACCTGTGGTTCTAAAGAAAACTGGGGACTCCCTGGTGGTCCAATGGCTAAGAGTCCACACTCCCAATGCAGGAGGGGCATGTTCAACTCTGGTCTGGGAACTCGATCCCACATGTCCCAACTAAAGATTACACAGGTCACAACTAAGACCTGGCACAGCTGAATAAATAAATCTTAAAAAAAAAAAATCAGTAACACAAGTGTTTCTAACACCTGAAGAAACTGAGCTCAGGTCAGGGGTTGCTGGGCCCCAGGACAGTCCACACTGACCTGCCCCCCGCTGCCAGGTCCCAGATGCAGCAGAGGCTCGGGCTGGCTTTGAGGATTCCAGGGCCTCTCTGAGCAGAGGACTCTTGCCCTCTCAGGTCCCACTCAGGCTGTGCTGAGTAAGGCGTGAACAGGCAGAGGACAGTGTCTCTCATCACTTCTGCGTCTTCTTCACCCTGGTTGTTGGGGAGATGGTGGTGTGTTCTGAGCTCTCATTGCCCCATCAACATGCTGAAGGGACCCAGGGCAGACCACCAGGGTGTCCCAGGGCAGCTCCCCCACCCCTGGGCAAAGCAGCAGGCAGGGGCTGCCCAGGACACGGCGGCCTCAGCGACCAGGCACTCCAACCCGAGCCTGGCAGGACAAGGTGGGCGTCACCAGGTGAGCAGGTCAGCTGGAGGTCCTGCTGGGTCACACTCACCCCTCCTCCCTTCCCACGCTGTCCAAGCTCAGTAGCCAGGCTGCCGCAGCCTCCTCCAAGCCTCTCACCCCACAACGTCCTCTGCACAGCAATGGAATGGTCTATTGTTAACATGGATCTGCCTGCTGCTTTCCTCCCCACCAGCCTTGGAAGAAGTTCAAAGTTGTTCACAGTATTCTGCATCCTCTGTGGGCTGGTGGTCACACCTGCCCTGGCTACACTGTCTGTCCCGCCTTCAACTCCCGAAGTCGTGGGCCGGGCCCTCCTCATACAGTCTTTGGATGTGCCAGCTTTGTCCCATGCTGGTGACCAACCAGTTCTCGCACCTGAGCACCGCCCTAGAGGCAGCACCCTGCCTGCCGGCCCCGCGGACACACAGGATGCCCTCCTGGGCAGTGCACTCAACCACCCGAGGGCACACAGCATCGCGTGGGAGAGTCGGCCTGTGGCCTGATCTTGGGCTGCCCACTCCTCTAATCCAAAGCCAGGGGCTTGTGCCCAGGTGCCTGCAGCAACCCCTGCCTGGCATCAGTCCACCCAGGCTTCCTGCCCAGCCAGGACAGTGTCTGAAAATCCTGCCAGCATGCGGTTTCCACGGCCCTCAGGAGAGACCAGATGCCCTCTGAAGCCAAGCCTGCCCCCTCCCACCAGCACCTCGCCCTCACTGCCTGAGCTCCGTGGGCCCCCAGCCCAGTCAGAGCCCACGGCGGCGGCACCCCCGGTGTCACTGCACCCAGTCCACCTCAGCTGGGTCCGCCTCTCCCAGGGGCCCCTTTATACAGTTGTTCAAGGTATGTTTCTGCACTGGCGGCTCCCCAAGGTCCCCTGGGCTCGGTACCCCGAGCACAGTCGGCGCTCCGCGAATGCTGGACTGACGGTAGCCTCACTCCAGCCCCAGTTCTCAGCACCAGCTCACCTTCCACTCGGCCGGACTTGAGCTCTCAGAGTTAGGACAACCCCCTGCTCACCTGGGGGGCGGCGGGCGGCAGGCCTTCAAAGCGTCAGAGGAGGGGCGTTTACAGCTCCTCGGGGGTAGTCCACGGGCCGCGGCTACCTCAGGAGGGGTGCCCACCACCACCCTCCGGGGGAGGGAAGGATCCACGCTGGGCAGACGCTGGGGTCATCTGGCTTCCGGAGAGAAGCCCTTCGGTCTCAGGAACATCTCTGTTGTCTCAGGTTGTTCACGCAGGTTTAGGACGTCTTGCCACGTGGGGCCACCCTGGTGGGCAAACGGTGCACCGGGAGAGCAGCAGGTGACAGGACACGGGGTGGTCAGGGGAGGCAAGCCGGAGCGTGACAGGACCCTGGGGCTGCGGTGACCAGGTTGCCTGGCGCCCCCTGGCGGCCGGCGCCGCGGCTGAGGTACTCTGTCAGGCGGCAACTGGAAGCTCCTGGAACTGTCCCGTTTTGGCGCGCGGCCCCGCCCCTGGAGGCAGCCACGCCCCTGCGGGCTCGCCCCGCCCATCACGTGGTTCCCACCGCCTGGGTGGGCAACGCCACGTGACGGACAACCAGGCCCCGCCCCTAGCCTAGCCCCCACTAGTCCCGCGCCTGCGAGATTGGCAGCTCCAAGGTGCGTACCTCTCATGTCCCGGGTGGTGCGCGTCCACTCGAGGGCTGCACCCGGGATTGGCCCTCGCCTCCGGCCACCTCTTCTTGCGTCGCAGGGCCCTCGCACTGTCTCTTCCTTGTATCAGGCCCCTGGGCGTCCACACCGCTCTTGCCTGCTGCTGGCTCCCCAGGCTGGTGCGCAGTTGGGGGCCGCTGGCCTGCTCTTGCATTTGCTTTTAGCTAATTTTTGACACTTTTTGCCCTTATTGGAAAAATTTAAGTCTACTTACAATAACTTGGGCACGTGATTTCACTCTTCCAGTTTCATGATTTCAAAATATAGAGTATTTCCATGACAATTTAGCATTCTCCAAATTGAGATGTGCTGTCAGTGTAAAATACAGGCTTCACTTTATATGATTGGTACTAGTGGTTAGTACTTCGTGATGATGATGATGGTAATAGTAAATTTTATATTGACTTGTTGAAATAACATCTTGGAAATATGGGCAAAGTAAAAATTTATCTCACAACTGTCACCTTATCCTTTATACTTTTTTAATGCAGCTACTAAAAAAGTTAGACTACACTTGTGGCTCCAGCTACATTTCTTTTGGACAGCACTGTGGTAGACAGTTGACATCTGAGCAAGAGAATCCCCCACCCCCACCCCGACCTGCTCTGAAACCAAGTGTGCTGGTGACAGTATCTGTCCTCATCACGTGAGAGTCTCAGGCTCAGTTCCCTTTTCCATGATTCTCACAGTAGCCTGCTGACACCAGGTTCCCTTTAGGTCCCCCTGGTATGGATGAGGAGACCCAGGTCTGGGGAGGGGGGAAGGGGAGACTTCTTGGGTCACTCACCCTGGAGCCAGTGGCTCCCACTTTGTCCCATCCTGTTATGGAGCCCAAGGTTGCCTGGTGGACAGTGAGCCAAGTGCAGATGGATCCTGGCTGAGAGCCAAATGTCTTCACTGAAGGTGAAAACTGCCTCCATACTTGGCCATGGACCTCAGGTGGCAAGCCAAGACCACTAAAAGCACCCTGGTGGCTGCCAGTGGGGGCTTTTGGCCAGGTCCATGGGAGTCCCCAGAAGCCTGAATTCCACCACGAGTCTCTGACTGCAGAAGAAAGAGCAGCAGACTGAGAGGCAGAGGTAGGGATACATACACAGCTCCCCAGTGCACCTTCTGTGTGCTGGGAGAGTCAGTTTCTTCACCCAAAACGGGATTCCACTTGTAGGGTGAGACAGATAAGGCATTGCAGTCACAGGGACCAGGGCCTGCACACAGCACACCTCAGCAGATGCCAGTTAGTTTTGTTTTCTGAAACTGGTAAAATCCGTAAGTGGCTACACACCCCAGCTAGTTGTTGTGATGTGTAAATGGTTCCAAGGTAGAGCACTGGGGATCCGAGACGCAGGTAGTAAGGCGGCAAGATTGGCAGGAGTAGCAGTGGGGCTGGGTGGATCCTAGGGAGGTCAGACATGGCCGTGGTCCAAACTCGGAACCTACTGCAACTCTTCGTATTTTGGTGTGTGGCTAAAGTGATGGTAGTGATGGTGATGATGGCAAGCCCCATCTGCTTGAACTGGCTGTGGTCCGAGCACTGTGCTGAGCACTTCACTCAGGCTAATCCTCATGGGCCAAGCAGTATTACCATCCCTTGTTACAGATAAGAAGACTGAGGCTTGGGTGGTGCAGCCACTTGTGTGGAGTCACATAGCCAGATTCCACTTGGGCTGTTTGACTGCAGATCCTTCACCCATTCAGACCCCAGCTGTACACCTCTAAAAATTACTGAGGACCCCTAGGGGCTTTTGTCGATGTGGGTTATAGCTATCAATATTTGCCATATTAAAAATGAAAATAGAGGCTTTAAAAGCCTATGTATTAGATCATTAAAAATAACATGGACCCACACTTTAAAAAAATGAAAATGAGTTCTACTTTCCAAGACAAAAAAATGTTAGTGGAAGAGTAGCATTCTTTTACTTTTTGCCAGTCACTTTAAAGTCTGGTTGAATAGGAGGTGGCTGGATTCTTACAGCTGCTCCACATCCAATTTGCTGTGATGAGCTGTTTTGGTCAAAGCATATGAAGAAAATCCAGCCTCAGATTGGGGATGCTGTCTGAGACCAGGGCACAGTGACAGAGGGAGTGACAGCACCAGATTGCCCGAGTCTGTAAACTTCAGCTGTGGCATGATGAAACCAAACCCTGGGCTGAGGAATTCTGCAGGAAAAGCAAATTGGAGACCATGACAGTCCCCCTGGACAACCTCCAGGTTGAAAGTTTAGGTCAGCCCACAACTAGTGATGTTCCTGTATGTAGATCCAGAACAGGCCTGGCTGACAGAGCTTAAGTCCACAGGCCTCTTAAGGAGCTGGTGGAGGGACTAAACTAGGTCACTCCAGTCAGGGAATGGGGGTCACCTGGGTGGGCACGGGCTCTGGCTCGCCTCAGATGGGTGGGCTGGCCAGCAGTGGGGGCATGGGTTTGAATTTCAGCTTGGTCTCTTGCAGGGTCTGTGACCTGAAACAAGTGGCTCAACCTCTCTGACCTCAGTCTTCATATCCATGAAATGGGCATATCTGTAGAATCTATGTCCTAGTTAGCTGTGTGCATCAGATGCAGCAGTATGTATAAAGCTCTCAGGACTAGACCCAGCACATGGTAAGCACACACACTTTGGTCATTAATATTCGATGCCTGAGTCTCTTCTCCTTGTGGTCCTTCTTCACTCAGTAAACACTGGTTGATCAAATGACTGAAGGCACAGTTCCAGATCTCCAAGTTTCTGCAGGGTAAACATCCACAGACAAGGACCCTGGTCCCTCTGCCATCTGGTTTCTCTCCTGTCCAAGCATTTCAGCCAGACTGTCCTCTCTGAGCATTCCACACCTACAAACTAACCTGACATGTCAGGTGGAAACTTGTCACAGAAGGGGATCTTCCTAACCCAGGGATTGAACCTGCATCTCCTTCATTGGCAGGTGGATTCTTTACCACTGCATCACTTGGGAAGCCCCAAGATTCCTTGGGTGGGGAGAAACAGAAATCCACCCAGGCACTTTAAGCAAAAGAGGCAGATGTGTGGGACAGAATCAAGGCTACCTCATAAAAATGTGGGCCTCACAAGAGATCAAAATGGAAAGTATTAACAACAATCTGAGTTAGCTCTTCTATGGGGTCACAAGGCCCTTGCTCTGTCTCTATACACACGGTGAAGGCGGCGGTCCTCCTCCATCTCACTTTTTGTCATCAGAGGAGACAGAGGGGATTCCAACTCCAGAGTCCTGGGTCCCAGAAGAGGTTCTGATTGGCTCAGCTGCCCCTCAGACCAGAGGGCCATGTGGGGGAGGGCTGACACTCCATCACTGAGGGGGGTGGGCAGTTCTCTTGAGAAGGAGCTGGCCCCAGGGTTGAAGTCACCCCGAAATGCCTCCTCTCCAGGGTGTATATATATATGTGTGTGTGTGTGTGTGTGTGTGTGTGTGTAAAATATCACTGTGCTATACAGCAGACATTAACTCAACACTGTAAAGCAACTATATTTCAATAAAATAAATTTAGAAATTTTTACTGGGTGGCTCAAGCGTACACACACCAAAACAAAACTGTAGCAAAATGTAGCCTTATAGTCTCGGCCCATGAATAGCTTGCTCCTGTCAACAAAATATGGACCTAGTTGTGGACACCCTTTATTACATATGGGAAACGATGCTTCTATACCACCTGTCTCAGTGGCTCCCAACATTCTCACTCTTGTCATTTTGCAAACAGCAGCCCGACAGATGTTTCTGTTCCTTTAACTTTTCTAAAGGCACAATTCACACTCTTTACACAAAGCTTAGCAAAGATGGCAAAGTAAAACGCCAGTGTAGTCTCAGTTTTCACCCCCTCCCAAAGACAACCCTTGTGATTTAGTTTCCTCCAAGACCTGCGGTCAGACTTCAGGACCGGGCTAACTGCATTCTTCTGTGAAGGGAATTCCACAGACTCTGAACCTGCCAGATAGCCCGATAATCACGTTCCCCCTTAAAGAAGTGTGCAATTCAGTGGTTTCGGTCCAAGAGGCACACCCCCCTGCCTCAGTGTCCGGGTCCACACTGAGCCTCAGGCTTGGCCCAGGACGCGCCCCCCACGTGCACAGCGCCCTCCAGGTCCGAGCAGCCTGATGCCAGCTTTACTGCACCGTATTAGCACAAATTTCCGCTGGAAGCAGCGTACCATTTCCCTCTTTGCCAAGACAGCACTGGCTTGGCACCCACCCGGATCTGCGCCGCCTAGTGCAGACCCCGCCAGGGCCTGGAAGATAGCGGAGGGACCGCCAACGTCCCCAGGGCCTCTCAGCGGCGCATGCGCGGCAGAGGCAGCCCGAGCCAGAGCGGCGCGAGAGGACCAGAGCGCACGCTCCCGGGAGCGTCCATTTCGCGCCAACTCCCCTGGCCGAGGTGCCGATGGTCCCGCCCATGGCGGGGGCGGAGCCAGAGCGCGGCGCGAAAATCCGAGGGAAGCGCGGCTGCATTTCCGCCCGCCGGCCCACCAAGCTGCTCCTGCTGCTCCTGATCCCGCCGCTCCCGCCATGGCGCAGCGCCGCCTCACTGACTTCTTTGCGCGCCGCCGTCCCGGGGTCAGCGCCACGCTGCCGCGCGCCAAGCCGGCGTGGCGCACCCCGAGCCCTGCCAAATCCGCGCCCTGCGCCGGGGCTCCGGGTCCCGGCAGCAGCCGCAAGCGCGCCCGCCCTCCTGCCAAGCCCACGCGCGACGAGCCTGTGCCGCTCGCGCGCAAGAGACTGAGGCTGCCGGCTGACGCGGTGAGAGCGCGGGGCGCGGAGGGGAGGGGGAAACTGAGGCCGGGGTGACGGACAGACGGGAGGGAACCCGTGGAGAGGGGAGCGGTACCGGACGAGGAGGAGGCGGGGCTGCTGGAGAGACCTGCCCTGGAGGAGGGCACCGAGAGGGGGTCTGGAAGCCCGGGGTGAACCTAGATCCACCCCCAGTGGAAGGAGGGGCTGGGCCAGGTCACGTGCACCTGGTAGGCGGGGTCCTCCCTTCCCGAGGACCTCAGAGACGCCGGGGATGCTGGGTCTGACCGATGTTGGAAGAGGGCCAGGGGGCTGGTTAACACCAGGCTCGTCTTCAAGACTGGGCGAGGCGTCGGGCCTGGATGACTCGACCTGGCTGTGAGTGGGCGTCTCCTAGTTAATCGAGGGGACTGGAGAGACGCTTTCTGGGAGACGGTGCACCCTAGGGTCTTGTGGTTTCATCACCTTTGGGGTCCTTCCCATCAGGTGTCTGGCCCCAGTTCCCCGGCTGCCCCTGGCTCCCCAGAGCACCCTTCTCCCCAGAGCAAGGAGACAAAGAAGGCTGCTGGCTCAGCTGGTGGGCGACCCTGCCTGGCAGCCCAGGAGAACAAGGTGAGGAGGCTGGACCAAGGGCAGGGTAGGTGGACTGGAGTGGGGTGACAGGTGGGCTGACGCACCCTGTGTCCACAGGTCCCTTCAAAGGTCACCCCATCTGAGCTCAAGTCGTGCCTGCAGCGGGCACAGGAGCTGGGGGCGCGGGTCCAGGAGCTGAAAGCAAGTGCGCAGAAGGATGCTGGGGAATCCAGCGCACCAGAGGATGAGGGACGCCTGGAGGGGCCATGGTGAGGCCTGGGTGGCTAGGCTCCCCGGGAAAGGCTCAGTTGGTGGGAGGCCTGATGAGGCTGGGCTGAGCTGGGTGTAAGGGGACAGGATCGCTCCTTCCAAAGGGTCAGCATAGTCCACAGGTCTCAGCCTCTGTCTGTGAGAGGGGCCAGTTACTGGGTACCTTTTGCCCAGCTGCATATTGGTCTCCCACCCCCAGGTCATGTGGTTATCATATGCCTCTTAGAGGCAAGATAGCCAGGGCTGGAGGTGGTTGCAGACCTCCCTGGGTGACAGCTGGGTTTGAAGCCATGCTTTTGTCTCTGTCCCTTAGTCGTGCCAGGGAGGCATGTTGGGGCTTTGCAAACTGGAGTATAGTGTATCCTGGAGCAGAACTCCCAGCTCTGGGGTCTCCCCTGCCACTCTGCCCGCTGTTGAGTGCTGGAGGGGGTGGGTCTGGTGCTTCTCTCACAGCCCTGCTCCCTCCCTGCAGTGGAAAGCAGATGCCAGCCTACCAGCGCTTCCATGCCCTGGCTCAGCCGGGGCCCCCAGGCCTTGTGCTGCCCTACAAGTACCAGGTGCTGGCTGAGATGTTCCGCAGCATGGACACCATCGTGGGCATGCTCTACAACCGCTCCGAGACTGTGACCTTTGCCAAAGTCAAGCAGGGCGTCCAGGACATGATGCGCAAGTGAGCAGGGAGCCAGGGCCTCACCCTGCCCTTGAAGTCTGTGTGCCCTCTGGCACCGGCTTTCTGACCCCTGCACCCTCGTCCCACAGACGCTTTGAGGAGCGCAACGTGGGCCAGATCAAAACGGTATACCCCGGCTCCTACCACTTCCGCCAGGAGCGCTTCATCCCCACTTTCAAGGATGGCATCAAAAGGTCCGATTACCAGCTCACCATTGAGCCACTGCTGGACCACCGTGAGTGTACCAGGCCTCGGGTTCCTGCCCGGTTTGAGCATGGGTGTGAGGCGGTGGGCAGTGGGCCTCATCTGAGACCTGCAGGTGTGGGCTGGGTGACTGGGTAGGCCTGGCCCCGGGGCTCAGGCCCTGACTCTTCCTGCAGAGGCTGGCAGTGCGGCCCCCCAGCTTACGGCGTCATGCCTGCTGCAGCGGCGCCAGGTCTTCAGCCAGAACCTGGTGGCCCGAGTCCAGGAGCATCACAGGGTGAGCAGGTGCCCCAGCCTCAGTGCTTAGTTGTCCCTGCTATTACAGTCCCATCGGATCCACAGAAAATGGGCTCCTCTTAAGGCTGAATCCTAGAGTTCTTTTAACTGCTTTCCCTGGTCGTCTTCTACACGTGGGTGGCTGTAGGGCTGGGCAAACTGGGAACTCAGGTCTGCAGCCTCTGGCCCCCGGAGGCTTAGGAGGAGTCCCATAGGTGCTTCTGGGTGCTCTTTGCTTTGCCCCCAGCCTAGCTGAGCCCCTGCGGCTCAGAGGTGAAGTAACTTGCCCATTGCTTAACTGGGACAGGAACTGGGCAGATGTGCCCAGGGTCACTGGGTGCCCCCCTTCTCACATAGGCTTTCCTGGCCTCCCTGAACCCCCCCATGGAGGTGCCAGAGGACCAGCTAACACGCTGGCATCCCCGCTTCAACGTGGATGGGGTGCCTGACATCGAGCCGGCCGAGCTGCCCCAGCCACCTGCTGTGGAAAAGCTGACCACCGCCCAGGAGGTCCTGGCCCGTGCCCGCAGCCTGATGTCACCCAGGGTAAGGCTGGGGTGGAATGGCCTGACCCCCATGTTGGTGTCTGACAGGCTCCCCCTTTGGCCATGGGCCTCAGAGTGGGTGGACGTGCCCTTCCCACCGTGGAGCACCACCCACCAGCAGGCACTGCCCTGGGCAGGCAAGCATGGGCCCTGGATGTGCTGAAATGAACCTGGGCTGGATACAGGGCTCCTGGGGGCTCCATACAGATGGGATGAGGGGCCTCCCCTGCAGCTGGATGGGGGAGGCTTCTCCTGACCTCTCTCTTCTTACCTGTCCCAGATGGAGAAGGCCCTGAGTGACCTGGCCCAGCGCACAGCCGAGCCTAGCAGCCCCAGGTCCCCCAGCCTGGCACAGCCAGCCACTCCACCTGCTGCCCCGCCTTCTGCCCTGAAGGGGGTGTCCCAGGCCCTGCTGGAGCGAGTGAGTGTTCAGCGTCTCCGTGGTGGGTGGGTGTGTGTGTGTGCGTGTATGTAAGAGAGAGACAGGCCCCTGAGCACCCATGCCCACCGTAGATCCGGGCCAAGGAAGCGCAGAAGCAGCTAGCACAGATGACACGGCGCCCAGAGCAGGAGCAGCGGCTGCAGCGACTTGAGCGGCTGCCTGAGCTGGCTCGGGTGCTGCGCAGCGTGTTTGTGTCAGAGCGCAAGCCTGCACTCACCATGGAGGTGGCCTGTGCCAGGATGGTGGGCAGCTACCGAGCAGCCATGAGCCCTGGTGAGTGCAGAGTGAGGGTGGGCACTGCACCCTTGGGGTCACCACTTGAGGCCCCACGGGACTTGCCTGTTCTCTCAAAGCCTCTGGTCCCTTGAGGCAGGGCAGCCCATGGTGGGGTCTCCGTGGGAGTGGGAGCTGCTGAGCGAGGCTGCGAGGTCACTGCCAGCATTTTTTCCTGTCTTGTTATGGGAGGCTCGACAGGGTCCTGGCGCCCAGCCTCACACTTCCCTCTCTGCAGGGGAGATGGAGAAGCACCTGCAGCTCCTCTCTGAGCTACTGCCTGACTGGCTCAGCCTCCACCACATCCGCACGGACACCTACGTCAAGCTGGACAAGGCCGCTGACCTGGCAGGTGTCATGGAGCAGCTAGCCCGCCTGGCCCGTGCGGAGGAGACACTGTGAGCCCGGTGGACACGTGCCAGGCTTGTGTCTTACTCCCTTTTGGAAAATGATGCACTTTGATCTCCCTGTCCTGAGTCTCATGAGGGCCAGGCTGGCCTGGACTTGGGCTGCTGAGCTAGAGGGTCTCTGGTGGAAGGCCCCCTACCTTGTATGTAGGATGCAGGGAAAAGGGGGGGGGTGGGGGAGGGTCGTGTAGCAGCTAGAGTTAACCTCTCAGGGGCCCACAGGAGCTCCTGGAGGACCCAGTATCACACACGTTCCCCACAAAGGGAGGCCGATGCAGAATCTGAGATTGAGTCTCCCTAGAGCCTCCAGAAGGAAGCAGCTGTGCGCACCCACCCCCTGGATCTTGTATTTGGTCTCTAGACTGTCAGATAAAGTTGTTGGAAGTCAGCATGTCTGTGTGATGAGTTACAGCAACAGGGGAAGACAAGTTGGGCTGCCCCTGTGTGTGCAGACAGCTCACGGGGCTTGAGAACCACCGACTACTAATGTCAGAAAGTGCTCAGCCTGCCTAGTGGGCCCTTTCATCCAGTCACTGGGAAGGAGACTCTGCTCTAGAAAGTAATTTATTCTCATTCCATTATCAACCAGCTGGCAGCTCCTGGCCACAGGGCTTCCAGAGCCCCAGCAGGGCCTCAGGGGCAGCCCTACCCTGAAGAAAGTCACTCAGCCACAGACACAGAGCAAGTCCAGGTGGGCAGCCAGTGCCCCCTGGTAGCCAGTGGGGGTTGCTCCATCTGCCCATGCTGGTCCTCTCTTCCAGGTAGCCAGTGGGGGTTGCTCCATCTGCCCATGCTGGTCCTCTCTTCCAGGTGGCTTAGGGCTGGGGTCACTCGTACTGCAGGAGGGAGAAGAAGGGCACAGCCCCCAGCTTTTCCCTGCCCTTCAGTGAGGTCAGCTCCACCAGGCTTACACACTCCAGCACCTCAGCCCGCAGCTGGCCCAGCAGCTCACAGGCTGCGCACATGGTTCCTGGTGGGGGAAGAAAGGTACCATGGAGACGGCCCCTAGGAAACTAGAGCTGAAGCCTGTTCCCACCCCCACACCAGGCTCCACACCAGGCTCCACACCAGGCCCACTCTGCTGGGGAAAGACCCTCACCACCAGTGGCGAGCAGATCGTCCACAACCACCACCTTCTGCCCTGGTTCCAGGGCATCTCTCTGGATCTCCAGTTCAGCCTGCAAAGGAAAGTGGACATGTAACCTCTAAGCGTCCCCAAAACGGCCTTGGTACACACAGCTGGGGAACTAACAAGGGCCACCTCCTAGGCCCAGTGCTGACCCACCCTGTCTCCTGGCTGTGTCAGCCTGGCCCGGCTCCTCAGCCTCTCTGAGCTCCCATGTCCACTCCAACCATGGCGGCTCCACTGGAGTCCATGGCCTTCCTTTCGGGAATGCACGGTCCACGGAGGCAGCCCCCAGCCTTCTCACCTTCCCATATTCCAATGCATAAGAGGCGCACACGGTAGGGCCCGGCAGCTTCCCTCGCTTGCGGATAAGAATGCAGCCCAAGCCCAGCTCCTGGGCCAGGGACGGACCAAACAGGAAACCGCGTGAGTCTAGGCCTGTAGGCGAGACCTGGGGTGTTGGGGGGAAGCCGTGTGCTACAGCAGCATTGGGGTCCCTATAGGTTAGGGCTGGACAGTGACATGTAACCATCCTGACACAGGACATATGGCCTTATTGGCTCCAGGCGAAAGCCCAACAATACCCATCAACTTCGGGGATGTTAACAGATTCCCCTATCACCCCAGGACTGCTCTTTGCTGGAGAGTAAGAAGTCAGGAGTTGGGCAGGTGCCACTCCACACAGCCGTGTAAATAGCCATGTGGCCTGGGGTAAGTCACCTGACCTCTCTGCAAAGTTCAGCTGCTCACCACTGGTTGGTGGTACCTGAAAAGCCCTTTGCAGATGGCTCAGCATCTGCTCTGGGAACTTCAAGTCCAGAAGGAGAGGTTGTGACTGCACCGGCCACCTTGGGGATGGACTGAGCCCTTCTGGGGGAGCTCAGGGTCTCCTCCCCACCTGGGAGTTTTGGCTAGGGAGGGAGGCTTTTGGAGGAAAGACTCCACCTCTGCTAGCTGGAGCCCCTCCCAGTCCCAAGGCCCAGCAGTGGCCCCTTAGGGTATTCAGGAGTCAAGAGAGGGTCAGGGATGGGGCTCTCAAGGAGACACATGACCTGCCAGAGTCCTCTCGGATCTCTTGGGTTTTCCTAAAACCCTCCACTGGGTACAAGGCCTGGCACAGGGCAGGCGCTCTATACGCAGCAGTAAAAGAACAAGGAAGTTGGTCAGAAACCCCCTGGGGAAAGTCAGCCCGGGAGCCCCATCTGTCCAGGGCTGGGGCAGGAAACCGTGGTGCTTGTCCTCAGCCCGCCGCCGGCTGCCACCGAAGAAGCTGTTCCCAGGCCAATGAAGGGGCCTATTGCCCCACTTGCGATTGTGAAGTCGGGGTAGGGCAACGGGTCTGTTCTTAAAACTTCATTGGGGGCGTCCGACAGGTCGCGCCCCCCCCCCCAAACCCTCCCCAGAGTAAAGAGCCCTCGACACTGCGCCCTCGTGGCGGATGCGCGCAGCCTCGGGGAGGGTCCGGGAACCCAGCGGACACCCGCCGCTCCACTTGCCTGCGATGTAGTCGATCCTGCCGCCGTGGGTCTTTTTCAGGTGATCCGCCAAGAGGCTGATCGAGGCGCGGAAGGAGGCGGGGTCCTTCAGGATGGGCGAGATGTCCCTGGCACGCGAGGATAGGCCTGGTGACTGCCGGACCCACGCAGAGCCCACCGCGCCCCGACAGCCCTGGCCGCGAGGCCCCGTTAGTCCCTCCCGCCGCCAGTTACCTAAACAGCACGCCCGGGATGGGGAAGTCGGGGAAACTGCGGATGCGCCGCGCCACCAGCTGCAGCTCAGGATCCGCCATCGCCACTTCCGTGCGTGTCGCGGGCACGAGGGGCTGGCTTGGCGGCTCCGCGCCTGCGCGGGGTCGGAGCGGAGTCCAGGGGGCGGGGTCGGACGCTAGGGGCTGGCTCAGCAGCTCCGCGCTGGCGCGGGACGGGAGGGGCAGCGGGGCGGGGCCCCAAGGAGCTTGGCCGCCTCCGCCCGCAGGAGGTACCGTATTTCATCGAGTGTTAAGTACGGTCGGTTTTAAGACGCTCGCTTGTTTCTTGTGCCCAGAACACAGGCGTCCCCGCCTCAAGGACGTTCGCGCAGGGCCCAGATGTGAGTCCGGGTTGATGGAGTACACCGTCTACGCAGGCCCAACCAGAGTTTCGGGGAAATCCTTGCCCGGTTTCGGCCGAGCCGAGAGTGCCCGCAGGTCTTCGGCTCAGCTGTGGCCGCACCGACCGGCCTTGCCCACTCTCCTTTCCTCCCAGCGAGTCTCGGCTGAGCTCCGGCAGCACCATACAAGGGGGCCTTACCCCCAGGACCACCCCCCTCCCCCGGTGCCTGGGAATCGGAGCAAGAAGGGGTTCGGAGCAGGGCCTGAAGGGGAGCAGTTCAGAAGACTCAGGGCTGAGGGAGGGGCTAGCCAGAGGTGGAAGCCCAGGCATTTGGCCCATTCCAGCCTCGACCTTGGCACCCAGGGGGCAACCTTCTCTAAACAGAATTTGTTTTTTAAAAAAGCTAAATGCCTGTTACTTTATTCTAAACCCGTTTTCTTCACCATTCCCCAAGTCTTAACAGTAGAGTTGGCAGGGTAGTCTGCAGACCAGAAACCACCCATTGGGAGCAGACCACAGGCCCTTAGGGTGGGTCCCCTGGAAGCTATGCACAGGCTGGCTCAGGCTCATCTTCAAGCTTTGCCACCCTGGACTCCACGAAGGGAGGGCGGGCGGAGAACCTCTGAGGCACAGACAACACCCCAGAGTGTCTAAGATGTCTAAGGGAGGTGCTGGCATCAGCAGTCCCCACTGGACTAGGGAGGCTCTGGGTCAGAAAGGCCCTTGGCCGCTCCCATCGTGTTCACACCACATCTCTGCACCATGGGGATGGGGAACGCGGGGGAGGCACTGGGAAGGCCCTGTGCAGGAGCCAAGGGGCAACACAGGATGGGCAGGCGGCCTCAACACCAGGACCGCAGTCCTCGAGGGGCTGCATCGTGGCCTCCGGGTCCAGGGACAGAACTCAGGCCCTGGACGAGGCGGCCACGAGGTAGCTGGAGCAGGGTGCAAACATGAGGCGGGTAGCCTCCAGTTCAGGGGCTGCTGTGGGCCCCAGGCAGCAGTCAGGCGGGCCAGGCCGGCTGGCGAGAGACTCCAGGGCTGGGCTCGGGCAGGTCCCGCTGCTGGCTACAGGCGACGTCCGTCTGGCAGGCGGGCAGGGCAGAGGGAGTTGGTGCTCTTCCAGCCGAGGGCCCTGAGACCAGAGGCTTCCTAGCCCGGGGCTTGGGCCTGGCCTGAACCCAGGCTGTCTCTAGTGGGGCCAGGAGCACTTCTCCGGGACAGACTCCGGGGGTGGCAGGCACTTCCCTAACTTTTCACAGCCTGGGGGCGCCCAGTTCTAGGTAATGAAAGTTCAGAAAGAGGACATACAGTTACTCCAAGCACTTCCAGACTCAGGTACTGTCCAGACTCATGCCCTGCCCAGGTCTGTGACCTGCCCCACCCTGACGGATGGACGCCACAGTGTGGAACCACCTGTCTCATCTCTACCTGGCCTGGAAGCAGCTCTGTGCCCGAGGCCAGCACAGGAGACACTGCCCTGCGGCAACCCGGTATTAACAGGGCCCGCTTGTCACTGAAGGGGACAGTCTGCTAACTGCCTGGCACCATGGCCTCTGTAGGCCCCCGGGTGGTGGTGGCGTGGCTGGGACAGACTCCTCCCTCCCCATAAGCTATGTAGGCGGTGGCCTTGGTGCCTCTGCAGGCTTGCCCGGCTGCACCTTCGTGTGCAGACTTGCTTTGTGCGGCCATGATTTCCTGGCAACAGGACACTCACATCCCTGAGAGGGAGCCTTCGTGGCTTTGCCGGGTCCCGTGACACAGGAAGTGTGCCCTCCCCAGAGTCACTCCACCTACTCTCGCCCCCCTCAGACCCTGAGTCTGAATTGGAGCATCAGTGCCAGTGAGAACCGCAGCTCAAGCCTCCCGTGCCCTGAACACCTTCAGGTAGCCCCTCTGGATGCACGGTCACCTGGCAGGGCCAGGTTTAGGAAAGGGAGCAGTTCCCAACCTTTGAGGCAGGGCAGAGAAAGGGGTCGGGTGCATGCAAAAGCAGATTCTGGCCCCGGCCTGTGTGCCTGGGGGTCAGGGAGAGTGTCTGATGAGGCCCTAGGGAGATGGGCTGCGAGCTGCTTGTCCTGAAAGCAGAGGACACATCCAGAGTCTACTCGCTGGTCCAGAGGAGCTTGGTGGAGCAAAGCGTGGAGGCTGGGGAGTGCTTTGCACACTGGCGCGCACATGCACGTGCCCACGCGTGTAAGCCGCTGAACCCCTCGTGGCAGTGCAGGCTTCAGAGTCCAAGCCCAACCCCCACTGTTCACTCACTTGGGAGTCATGGCAGTTCTGGCCACGCCCGGGAGGTGGCAGCAGCGCCCCTCAGGTTGGCCCCTCCCCATCTCCGGTACTGTCACCAAGAACCCTTGGTCTCTGAGCCACCTGGCGACTGCCGCTACCTGGAGACCTGGCCCACAGGAGACGGTGTGCTGGGGTGGGGACAGCACCGTGTCCAAGACGACGAGACAGGCTTGGAGGGGGCACCAGGGGCTCCACCCCGGGTAGGGGGTCTCTGAGCCACTGGGACCTGAGGGATCTCGGTGGTCCTGAGACGAGGCTCTTCTGCTCCATTGCTGAGTCCAGGGACCAGGATGCCAGCCTGGTGTCCTTCCAAGGGACGGGGAGGCCCTGCCGGCCCCTGCACTGAATCTTTCCCTGTGAGCCCTGGATGTTGGACCACAGTGACCAGGCCACCGCCAAGGCCAGCTGCCCCAGGTACTCCTCACCACTAGGGAATATATTCAACATCCTTTAGCTCTCGTCCCCCTCCCCAACCCAGCTCAAGGCAGTAGCTTGAGCTGCACATCCATCCTCACAACTCCAGCAGGGTTTGGTGGGGGTGGGCGAGGAGTGGGGCTCACAGCCTGGCCGCACCCCAGGCCATCCACCCAGCCTGTCCACACCCACATCCCACACGGGTTTGGCTCGTCTTACACCTGCAGAGAGGCCAAGAGACCCCATGCCGCTCCTGTGAGGTTGGGGCCAGAGCAGCAGGAGGGAAGCGGGCCTCATGTCTGAGGCAGACAGCTCAGCACGCACGCGGCCCTGGGCTGCCCCCAGAGTCCATATACAGACCACTCACCATGACTGCCCGGTTGCACACATTGAGCTGGGGCTGTCCAGGGACCAAGGCCTCCTGGTGCTGCTGGACGACCGGGGTGATCCTGCGAAGGGCATCCAGGTACTCGATGCTGGCAATGCTGCAGGCAAGCGGCACCAGGTCACGAGGTGGGGGAAGGGCAGAGCGAGCTTTGTAGCCCACTCAGGTAGATCAGGGTGTGGGGAGACCAAGGGGACAGCCCTGCTCCAGGTGCCACCATCCGGCAACCTGCCAGGAAGACAGGCTGGGGCTGTGGCCCCACCTTGTCCTGCCTGCCCTCCCTGAGAGGTGGGCATCCAGGGAACCGTCCCACAAATGAGGGTTCGGGCAGAGCCAGGGGCCCAGGACAGTGGCCGCAACTCTTCAACCTGCTCCTCAGTTGGAAGCCCGAGAGTGCTGCCCAGAATCGGGGGGCTCTTTCCTCTCTCAGGGTCTCTTTTAATCCTCTGGCCCAAACTCCTTTTTCTTGGGGCAACTGGTCCTGCCTGACTGGACCGAGCCCACGTGGCTCCTGGGCCCTCGGCGTCCTGCTCTGCTGGCTGCACTCGTCCCGCCAGCTCGTCTCCCCAGGATCCTGTGTGACAGCATCGGGGGCGACGCCTGGGAGACCATGCGCTCAGCCCTGCACACTTTCCGGCCAGGCGGCAGCTCCAAGGGCTTCTTGCCCAAAGCTCTGTCCCCCAAGTCACCCCATGCAAGTCATGTGGTCTCCCCACTGGGGGAGCCTGGTATCCATGCTGGGCCCCCTGCTTGGGCCAGTGACCCTGACAGTGATGGTGGGGTCTCCTGGGGGCACAGTGGCAGGTGTGTTCCCTGGGACCTCAAATTTCAGGGGACACCATCTGGCCAGCTCAGAGCCAGGAAGGGGCAGGGCTCGCTGCTGCTGCCGCCATCTAATAGGCACTTGTATTGGAAGTCACGTATCTCCCTCTCTCTCTCACACACACACACAGACACACACACACACACACACACACACACAGACACACACACACACACACACGTCTGCCATCCAGGGCGGAGCTCAGATGATGTCTCTCTTTATATCCCACCTGGAGACCTGGAGGCCCACACTACTCATCTGTGAGGCAGGCTAAAGGCCTGGGGGCTCCCGGGGGTGGGATCGTGTGCCCTACCCCTGCCATGGCTTGGCTGGAACAAACATCGGGAACAAGTGGGTGCTGGGATGTGACTCAGGGGAAAGCCCAGTGGATGGAAAACTATGGGGTGCAAGAGAGCAGGGCCAGTGACTCACTGGCCTTGACCTCTGGGTAGCCCCAGAGGGCAGTCAGGCTGCCGGAGGCCCCGTAGGCACAGGGCTTGCCGTCTGCTCTTGCCGGGTCTCAGCTCCATACTGACTCTGAGGCCACCTCAGCCTGGTTTTAACCTCCAGCCTCGGTCTCCCCACCTGTGTGAGCGTCCTGGGCCCCACAAGCCCCTGGCTTACCTGAGGGGGAACCTCTCTCCGGGGTCTCGGCCCAGGTGGAAGATGAGGGGCAGCTTTGTGTGCTCCTCTTGTGAGTGGGTGGTGACCCCTGAGACGTTCTGCCCGGGACAGAAATCAATGCCCTGAAACGAGAGGTTGGGGGGAGCGTGCAGGTGAGTGCTCTGTCTATGGGGCTCCTTGAAGGGGAGCAGGTCACAGGATAGCAGCAGCCAGTGAGAACCGCAGACAGAGCCTTCCCACACCCGGCCCAGAGGTGCACCACCTGCCCCGGGCACCATCCCCTGGGGCCTTGGTACTTTTCTGTGGGGAGGGGTGAGTCTCTTAAAAATATTTTAGTCCACATTCTAATTTCTAGAGCAAAGAATCTCATGTCCACCCTATGGGCCTTGTAGCGATGAGGTACATGGCAGCCACAAGACCCCTTGGCCGGCTGAGGAGGAGGGACTACAGACCTGAAGCCAGAGGAAACACAGGTGATCCTGACGCCTGCCTTTAACAGGAGTTGGAGCATCTGCTCCACTAGGCTTAGGGTCCAGCTCTGCTCCACTCCCTAAATGTGGCCTCTGCCCTTGGGTTCAGCCTTTGATGCTCGTGTGAGATGGGGTTCCTATGCCAGCGAGTCCCCCAGGCTGGAAGGCTGCCCCCCGGGGCTCCCTGACTTGGTTCAGGGAACCACCTGCTGCTATCCTGGGTGAGTCAGGTGAGGCCAGGGCAACCCTCCAGAAGGACTGGGGACCCTGGGGCCCCGTAAGCAGCTGGACAGTGGTCTCCAGCCACTGTTGGACATCGTTTACAGGATCTGGAGTAGAGTCCTGACTGGGCATGTTAATCCTGAAACAGGGCTGGGGACACAGTGGTGCTCCCTGCTGCTTCTGACAGGCGATCCTCCCAGGACCCATGTGTCTCTCCTGGCCAGCCAGTCAGCAAGTATTCTGCGGTTCAGTAAAGCAGGAGCCCAGGAGCCTAAGAAATTCCACTGTCTGCACCAAGCCATAGACCCGAGTCTGTCTAAGCTGCTGAGGGCGGTGAGCATGGACACCCAGGTGGGTCCTGAATGGGTGACCCTCTGACCTTCCGGGAGCAGATCAGCTGGAAAACAAAAATGGATTTAATGGTGGGAGAAACAACCACGTTCAGCGTAAAAAAGCTGAGCAGTTAATGGAGAAGAATCCAAGTCTAGACAGAAAACACAAATTATAATTTGGATGCAAATCAAATAAGCTATTTAATTAAGAGCCCACTAATTAGCATTGGATTTTTCTCTTACGACTGCTCACGGGAGGGAGGCCTTGCCCAGGGGCCACTGCAGCTGAGCACTGCCACCACCGAAGCCCAGCCAGGCGGAGAGGGGTGTGGGGAGACCCACCCAGCACAGCGCTGGCTTCTGGACGGCAGGGTGGAGGGAAGGAGGGATAGAGCAGAGCTTTGCCCTTGAGCTGACCTTGTGGGTTTAGTCCATAAATGCAGAAGATCCTGTGAACACACAGACCCTCCCTCCTGCCTCAACCCCCAGGCATCAAACACCCTAGGAGGGGAGGTCACGGACTTGGTGGGGACTGGCTTGGCACAGCCCTTCTCCTCCTCCATCAGCCTGGCACCCAGTACCTGACCCAGGACACCCTCAGGTGGCTCCCAGGACACCATGCCAGGGGTACGGAGCCCTCCCCAAGATGGCTCCATGGGGCCGAGACCTCTCACCTGTTTGAACTCCTCCCAGGAATTAGTCCAGGTCCAGAAGTGGGCCTTGTACTGGCCGAGCGTCACCGCCATCAGTGTGTTGCCGCGGTAATAGAATATCGGCCTGTTGGGGGACCGGCAGGGTCAGGAGAAATGGTCCCTGGGCTTCGGGGGAGGTCCACCGGGCAGGCCCATGATCCTTGGTTCTGGGGAGACCAGCAGCGGAGCGAGGGGGTGGTGCCTGGGCTTGGCAGGTAGCCTGGCCAGGAGGACCATGGTGGCTGGCACCCCCACCCCCTGCTCCTGCGGTAACAAGCTCTCATGGCAAGTTTTTAAGACAGAGAAAAGGGAGCAAGCTGTCCACTCCCAGCCGTAAACCTGCTCCAACTATGCTCGTTCACAGCAGCCAGGAGAACTGATTTTGTTTGAGCATAACAGTAGCTGGTCTTGAGCTGGAGAAAATTAGTTTGGACAGCGCCCAGGAGGAGGTGGACATGAGCAGAGGGTGGTGAGGGATACTGCGGGGAGGAGAAAGGCCTCTCGGCCCCACCACACATTGCATGCCCAAGTCCCCTGGATCTCACCTCCCTCTGGGCAAGGATACCTACCTATCTGTCAGGCGGCCCTGTAGCATGGCGGGTAGGAGGTCCAGGCCGTCGATGGCCCTGTCCCTGGGCGGCTCTAGGCCTGCGAGGGACAGGCTGGTGGTGAAGAGGTCCATGATGCTGCCCAGCTGGTGGCTCACCTGCAAAGCACACGGCCCTATGCTGCCCAGATGTGCACAATGAGATGCACACATACGTGTGCACACACACAGACCCATGTGGTCACATCCTGTAGCGTGTCCACACATGGAGAACAGAGGCAGTCCCTGCCCGATGACATGGACCTGTGGCCTGGTGAGCACAAGGAGCAGGCCAGGAGGCGACAGAGCCTTCTTGCCCAGGATGACTGCAGGCCTGGCACGAGGCCCGCTCTGACTCACCTGGCCGGCAGGGATGTGTCCAGGCCACCAGGCGATTGCAGGCTCCCGCATCCCACCTTCAAACGTGGTCTGCTTCCCACACAGGAGGGGCCCGTTGCTGCCACCTTGGGAGACAGCTGCCCATCAGCCCATGTGCCTGAGTCCCCAGGGCCACACACACCCTTCCAGGCACTTGACCTTGGGATGTGACTGTGTCCACCTGGTTCCCTGCCCGGCCCTTCAGAGGTAACACAGCTGAAGCACCAATGTCACCTTGGAGACACAGGACCAGCCCTGGGGTTCAGGCCTCAAGTTCAAGGTCAGAATGCCTGGAGATGGCTGTGACCTAGAGCTGTGGTTGTAAGGTTGTGCCCCTGTGGACAGCAACCATGGATGCACAGAGCATGTAGACTGTTGGTGAGACGTGAAATGTGAAACAGTCAGACCCCCAAGCCTGGCAGGTGCTGGATCCTTAAACGCCAGTGTGCATAAGCAGCTCCTGTGCGCTGGGCTCTAGGGGTACAGACCCCATGTTTCTGACATACCCCACTCTGAGCAGGTGGTCCTTGAACCTCTGGGCAGAGGGCAGTCAGCCCAGCCCTGGCTAACAGTGCCCGTGACAGAGGGAGGCTCCTGCCTCCCCAGGGATGGGGAGATAAAGGCAGTAGTGCAGCATCTTCCAGCAGCGACCCCGTGGTTCAGCCCTTCCCTGAAGCCCAAAGCCCACCTCACTGGTTGGCACAGGGCCAGCAAGGGTCACTGGCCAGTGGCTGATGAGGGCTGTTCCTCGTGTTTCTCCAGCTGCGGGTGGGTACACGGGTTGTCACCGTATTGTCCTCCCTCCGCAGCTCCTTCTCGGCCAGTTGCTCTGGTGCCATCCCTGAAGATCCCCAGACCCCTCTCTGCCCAGGACTCACAGCTGCAGGGTCTCCTAGGGCCTCCCCATGCAGGCCCAGCCCTGGAGGGTTTCCTGCTGTCTGGGGCCTTCCTTACAGAGCTGAATGATTCAGGTCCTCCTGGGGCCTCCAGTGTTTTTTAAAAAAAGGACAGAGAGATACGTCACCACGGGGGTGTGAAACCCTCATGGGACTGTGAAAAGCCAGGTGTAACAACCTCCCTCCACGATGTGGAAAAGCCTCAGACCTGAGCGGCCTGGAAGGCAGGTGTCTGAGCAGGCCTGCAGTGGGCCAGGAGCTGAGGGGCCCCAAGTGGACCCCGTCTGCTGGGGCACCTGCCTTGTCTGGGTGCAGAAATGAGGGCGGCACCATTGTCAGATGTGAAGAAAACAAATGTGTTCTCTGCGATGCCCAGGTCCCGGAGGAGATGCAGGATTCTCCCGACACTGTCGTCCAACTCACGGATGGCATCCCCGTACCTGCGGGAAGGATGGGGCGGTCAGTGGGGGCTAGCGGCATCGGGACCCGAGGGCGGTCGGAGCCTAACCTCAGGGGTGGAGGGGAAGGGGCACACAGGTCAGTCTCAGGTGGAATCGGGGTAGCGCCAAGCCCTCCATCCACCCCCTGGAAGAGGCACAGATGCTTCACCATCCACAGCTGATGGTCACTTGTGACAGTGACTCTGCCCTGCAGGTGATCAGACACGGCTAACCCTCCCCACTCCCGCCCTGGAGGTCCAGGTCTCAGGGGCAAGGGCTCACCGCCCTCGCTGGCTGGTGCCCAGGAAAGGCTTGGAGGCATAAACAGGTGCATGTGTAGCATCGACAGCCCAGTAGAGAAAGAAGGGGCGGTGGGCTGCCTGCTGCCTCTGAATGAACTCCAGCGCCTCCTGAGGAGAAGGACGACGGTCATCCCCATCCAAGACCACCCTGCTCCCTGGCCCGGAGCCCACCCAGCCCTGTCGTCCCTGCCCGAGACCACCCCCATCCCCAGCCCAGAGCCCACCCAGCCCCGTCATCCCGTCCAAGACCACCCCTCCTGGGCCCAGAGCCCGTGCAGCACTGGCGGCCGTCACCTGCAGATAGATCTGGGTGAGGTTGGCTTCTCCAGTCTTCAGGTTAATTGGAAATTCTTCATAAAATCTGAAAACGGTACAGACCCAGACAGAGATCAGCCTTCAGTGCAGGGAAGCCCCATCCCTGATCTCCTGGAGGAAGTCAGAGCCTGGAAGGTCCCAAATCCTGGAAGGTCCCAGATCCTGGGGTACCAGGTCCGGGCGGGGCTGAGGCTGCACCCCTGCTTGGCAGACAGGCAGGACTGGGAGAGGAAGGGGTGGGTCCCTGGGGTTGTGGAGGGCGCAGGGCCTCTCTCTGGGGTGCAGGGGGGCGGTGCTGGGTGAGCTGCCCAGTTGTGTGGTGCACTGACGTGTACTGAGCTCCAACAAGATACAAATAATAAAAAGGAACAAAGAAAGGGAAGTTAACCCAAACCCTGCCCCACAGCCGCCCGATGGTCAGAACAGGTGGTCCTGCAGTTGATGGCCCCTGGACAGTGGCTTGGAACGAGGCTGACCACCTGGAACGCAGCCCCCTGGCCGCTTCAGGGGTTGGGCCTGAACTCTAGAAGCCGAGTAAAGCGTCTGGGGCTCCCAACACATTTCCTGAGACTGTTAGAAGCCCCCTGAGGTAGCGAGCTTATCAGTCAAGGCTCACAGGACAAGTCTGTGCGTGTGGAGGAGCTGATGGAGTGGAGACCAGGGCTCGATACCTGCCAACCATCTCCTGATCCCGGTACACAGGGATGTTGGGCCTCGCCTTGTTGTCGTAAGGTCCAAAGTGACAGTTGGGGGATCCAAACCACTCGTCGAATCCGTGCTTCAGGGGGTGGAACTGAGGCCGGTGGCCCAGGTGCCTGAAGACAGTAACCCAGGGTACTTCAGGGAGCTCCACAGAGCAACCACCCTGGCCTTCGGAGAACAGCTCAGCAGACAAGGTCCAGCCAGCCCAGGGCGAACTGAGCCTGGCGTCCTGAGGCCGTAGCCCCTCCCTGCTTGGCCACCCAGGAACAGCAGAGGGGAGCACACCCTGGGGCTGCCTGGACCAGGTCTGGTGATTGTGCTCGATGCCGGGGCAGGAGCCAGTGGGGACAACGAGAACATGGCGAGATGCCTGCAGGGCGACGGCCCAGCTGTTTCCTGAGGCTGTGCTCGGACCCACCCCCCTGCTCCCACCCAAGGGCCCCTTCCCACGTCAGGTCCTTCTGCCAGAGAGACCCTACGGCTTAGGGAAGCGGTGTCGGGGCAAGGTGCCCCCACCCTGGGAAGTGGACAGGTCTCCTAGAGTCATGTCTGCAGGGTCGCTGGCACAGGCCGACCCCAGGTGACCATGAGCTCGCCGCACTGCTTGGTCACTCGGCCAGGATGGATGTGGCTGGGGCACCAGGGCAGGACAGGGCCAGAGCTGAGTTGGCTGGCAGCGGAATCTGCGTGCTATAAGCAAACCTCTCGGTCCCCCACTGTGGGTCCTGACCCGCTCTGCCTTCAAGAGACGGCTGCCAGCCTCTGCAGCCCTTGTGTGGGGCGGGGTGGGGGACACTCGCACTGGCTCCGCCCTGAGCTTCTGCAGAGGTGCTTCCTCTCTGGGCCGCAGCTACACAGCAGGGCTGGGCCTGAGTCCTTCAGCCCAAATGGACTTCACAGAACAGAAACAACCCTGAAGGTCCAGCTCATGTGAAGCTGTTGATTCAAAGAGCCGGTCCCGAAGCAGCTGTGGGGTCAGCACTGTCTGCAGAGCCCATCCTCACACTGGCCAGGGCCATCCTGACCCCAGCCTATCCACCTCCCCAAGTCCATGCCAGCTGCTTCTCCAGGCCCTGCTGTGCCCTTGCCTGCTCCAGAGTCTGCCTGCCTCCAGACGTCGTGGGGACAGGTTCCCCCTCCAGCTGGGGCGGCCCAGAGTCACTGACCATGAGCGGAAGACTGCTGGACCAGGGTGGAGCTGCCGGGCTGGGCAGGGAGCAGCAGTCATCACAGGGACTCCCCTACTGTGGGTACAGCCCTGGCACGGCCCAGCCACCATTGCCCCAGGCCTTCCCGTCTCTGCCAGGGCCATGCAGGCTCCTACAACCCTTGTGCCCTCTTCGGCTCCACGCTGCAGCCACCACCCTCTCCCAGCTCGTCAACTCAGCAGGATGGCTTCCGCCTGGTCTCAGGAGTGAGGAAGTGCTCCTGCAGCTTCCAGACTCCCCGACTCGCTGAGTCTCCTCTCCTGGCTTTTGCAGACTCCCCCGCCACCATAACAACTGGGTGGAGCAGGGGCCCCCAAGAGGTGCAGATGAGGTGCTTGAGAAGGTGCGTGCCAGGGGGCTGAAGGGGAGAGGGTCTGAAGCACAGCAGCAGCAAAGGAGACAGTTAGGTCTGGAAAATCAAGGGAGGCTTCCTGTAGGAAGGCAGGCCTGGTCTCTGAGGGGTCCAACAATCAGGGGAGGGTAGAGAGGACATCCGACCTCTGCACCAACCTCCAGGGCCACGCATGGGGGCGTCCCTGGGGAGCAGGAGAGGAGACACCTCACAGCCACTTAATCATCACCCCAATGACCCAACCACACGACCCTCCACCCCTGCCTGCTTCCTGGTTTCACCACGAGACGGAGCCTCCTGACGTGTCCTCCGTGATGGCACATGTGTGCAACGATGGGGCTGCTTCGGTGGTGCTGTGCAGCTGACACTGCAGCCTTGCCACGGAGCTGGCTGGTGGGGCCTGGGACTCACCACTTGCCCACAATCTTGCTGGCATAGCCGGCCCCCTTCAGCAGCGCTGGCAGCAGGAGCTCTGAGTCCGGGATGCCCCCCACTATCTCCTGCGGAGTGTAGGCTGTGGAGCAACGTAGCCCTTGAGCCGCGCACAAGGGAGGCCATGCACTGTGAGGATCGAGGGGCAGAGCCCTGGTGGGGGTGGCACCGCCCAGGCACTTTTCAGGTCCTCCAGCTACGCCTCACTGTCAGCACTGTTACCAGGGTGGGACGGGCAAACGTCCAGGGGTGGGGTCCGGACCTCAGGAGAGGACCCACCCCTGGGGTCTCTGGAACACACCCTCCTCCAAGGACCAGGTGAAACCCCAATGGGTAAGGGAGCCCGCCCTGGAGCCTACCGTTCCTGGCGTGCCCGTTGGTGGTATAGAAGCCGCTGCGGATGGGCAGACGTCCGGTGAGCAGAGCTGCCCTGGCTACGCAGAAGGGACACAACAGAAACATGTGTTACACGTCCAGCCTGAGGCTGGCCCTGCAGTGCCTGAGTCCCAGAAGCCCCTGGAGAGCCAGGTGGGCGCACAGCCTCCCACCTTGTGCTCTCCAGCTCCTGAGACAGCCTGTGGGTCATGGCCAACACCCCCAGGATTACTTTTCATCCTGAGATCAGAGATTCTCCTCACCTGTAGGGCCCCCACACCTCTGGCTGACAACCACTTCCCCAGCCCAGTGCCTCCTCTGAACGAGCCACTGAACTCAACTTCATGAATGAACAGCCACTGCCAAGGTCCCCACAGGCTCCAAACCCTTGGTGACCTCTGACAGCTCCAGTGGCCCCGTGTCCCCCACGGGGTGGATCCTGGGAGCTCCCCAGTGCCAGGATCTGATGGACGCCTGAGTCAAGGCTGCCCCTCTACACCCCTGCCCCATCCCCATGCCTGCCCGCTGTGTCCCGTCTTCTGGTCTGCAGGTCCCCCCACCCTGCCTCACCTCACTGCTGTCTCCCTGCTCCATGCGTGCCCCCTGCCCCCACGCCCCGGTGGCCTGAGCCAGCCCTGACTTACACGGGGAGCACAGGGGGTTGGCTGTGTAGAAGTTCGGGAAGAGCATTCCCTCCGCAGCCATCCGGTCCAAATTCGGGGTCTCTCTGGAAGGTTCTCCATACACCCCCAGGTCGCCCCACCCCATCTGCAGGAAGGAGCATGTGGAGGTCAGGTGAGAACACAGCCAAAGCTGCAGCCCCTGGTGCCCCGAGTGCGGCCAGGACACGGTCTGACGCTTCCCTGGTGCAGATGTCAGCCCACACACTCACGGGGCACCAGCATCAAGACTCCCCTGCCCTCCACAGAGACACGGAGGCCGTCCTACTCCATGGGGCAAACTCAGATTTGAAAACAGCGGTGAGGGCCCACAATGCCAACCCAGTGAGGCCCTGAGACCTGCAGTCCCTCCTGAGCTTGCCACCCAGAAAACCGAGCCGGCCTGCACCCAGACACAGGGCAGATGTCCACAGCAGCAGGACTCCCGACAGCCCTGAGGAGACGCCCGAGTCCATCACTGATCAACAGTGGACAGAACATGGTCTGTCCACCCAGTACTGGGGTGAACAGGGGCCCACCTCAAGTTTCTTTCCATTGAGAACCTGTGAACATAACCATATCTGGAACATAGATGTATCAGCCTGCCTACACCTGTGCAGAAGTCAACCAGACTCCGGCCCTGCGGTTCGCTTCCTGCCCTCCGCCTTGCTTTCCTTAGTGGGACGTTCAGGGCTTCTGGGCAGGGGCCACACGCGGCTATGAGGAATGATCATGTGTGTACATGTGTGTGTCCACATCAACATACATGGGAGGAGGCCCTGGAGATTCAGGATACTGTGGGGATGCAGAGCCGGTGTTTGTACAGCCCGGCCTCACACCTTCCAGGAGTCATGGGGGTCTCCTTAATCCTGTTTTACAAGTAAAGAACAGACACACACACAGCGCTAGGGTCCAGGTGGGCAAGAGGGAGCTCTGTGCCCCCATGCCCTGCCCCGGCCCACCAGCCACAGAGAACAGAGGTGAGCCAGCACCACTGAAAAAAGCTACTCAGCATCTTCTGAGGGCTTCCACGAGCTGACGCCTACTGGGCCTGCGCCGAGTCTGAGGACCTGCTGGGTGGCACCCCCAGGCCTGATGACTGGAGGGGTGAGGCCGGGTGAGGACACAGGACTGCGGGGGGCCTGAAGCCTGTCTGGTCTGGAGAGCCGTGTTCCCCACTAATGCTCAAGTTGCTTTGAATGTGTTTTCTAACATTCGCTGACCAGGACAGAGATCTCCCCAACTTCTCCGGGCTTCAGCTGCCAGAGTCACAGGAGATGACACAGGAGAGGTGGGGGTCACCAGGGTCTTTTGGCCTGCTGTTCCTGGTTCCTGGGGCCCACCCTGGGCACCCAGGTTGATAGTCCCCCGGTCAGCCCCCTTGAGTTAAGACGTGCCCAGCATCGGTCCCCCTCCACCACTCAAGGAATGCAAGAGAGACCAGGAAGCCACCCGCTAGGCCTGTCACCCAGCAGCCCCGGTAACAAGCAAAGAGAAACAGTCGGTGTGGGTGCAGGTTCTGTTTGGTTGTTTTAGCTGAGCGGGGCCTTAGTTGCTGTACATAGGATCTTCCATCTTTGTTGCATAATTTGAAATCTTAAAAAAAAAAAAACTTTATTTGGCTGTGCCGAGTCTTAGTTGCAGCACACAGGGTCTTCATTCTTTGTTGTGGCATGTGAACTCTTAGTTGCGGCATGTGAGATCTAGTTCTCTGACCAGAGAATGAACCCCGGGCCCCCTGCATTGGGAGTGCAGAATCTTAGCCACTGGACCACCAGGGAAGTTTCTAGGTTCTTTTTTTAGCCCCATAAATCCAGGAAACGACCATCTCAACAAGCCTGCAGTGTCAGTCTTCACTAATGAACCTTGGGGAAGGAAGAGGCAGAAGTGGGAGAGACTAAGGGCTCAGCTTGGTTCAGCCTCGATGACTTAAGTACTTAAACAGCCTTCCTGCCTGGGAACCTGAGCTCTGAGAAGGCTGACCGCAACACAGCAAGCATTTCCAAGATCCACGTATCGGTTATGAAGCAAAGTTTCCTAACCAGTCATCAGACGGGCTCCCAAGGAGAGGAGCTTTGGGGCCCCTTTGGGAGCCAAGGTGTCTGAACACCTGTGACTAAACTGAAACACATTCTACCTCACCTCTGAGAGGAGCCACTACATATTGGTGGCTCTGCAATCTTTTCTAGTTTATCTGAATGTTGTTAGCTTTTTGTAATAAAGAATTAGGGATCCCCTGATAGCTCAGCTGGTAAAGGATCCGCCTGCAATGCAGGAGATCCTGGTTTGATTCCTGGGTTGGGAAGATCCACAGTGGAAGGGATAAGCTACACACTCCAAAGAATTACTTTGATAATAAAAAATGTTGCATGATATATATTTTATGTCTTTTTCTTGTACTAGATGTTTGAAATCTGAGCATTTCACACACACAGCACCTTGCAAATCCGACAAACCAGGAGCGTCCGGCAGCAATGTGAGGCTCGTGGCCTCAGCCCGGACTACTAGGAGTGTCTTTGCTGGCCTTTTGGGGGAACTTTGAGATATTTTTACTCGTGACTCTTCTGACACTAAATATGTGTGGGAACCTCCATTTCACTCACCCAAAATACATTCCTGGCTTTCCTGGAAAGGAGGACAGGGACCGAGTCATAAAGAAGTTGGGAACGGCTCGGTTTAACCCCAGAGTTGGCTCACCAGAGTGACCAGGGTGACCTGGGGCCACACACACGCTCAACGGGGGACATTCCTCTGGTTCAGTTCTTTACCACCCCACAAAGACCTGACCTTTGGCCAGAAATCCCAGCAGAGGCAGGGCAGCCAGACCAAGCAACGCTGGTCCAGTAAGGCAAAGACAGCAGAAGGGACTTTCAGGGCAGTCAGGACAGGATCTCAGTCAGCTCTGCACTCTTTTTCTGCCACCAACGCCTGGAGAATTGGAGGGCAACAGGTGAGCATAGGTCCTGGAGACCTGGTTCTCACGTGGCCAGCATCACAGTTGGTCTGGGCTGCCGCTCAGACCTTCCAGCGCCGTGTGGGGCAGGGATGGGGCAGTGGAGGCGCAGGGCAGAAAGGTCTTCTCCTGGTTCGGCCCGCAAACGACCACCTCACTTCAGTTTCACTCATGAAGGGCCAGGCATGACCACCACACCGCTGGCCGCCCTTCCCCTGCCTCCTACCCCGCGCCGAGCGCAGCAGCCCTCCCCGGAGCCCGGCTCGCGCGGACACTCACGTCGTCCATGAGCAAGAGCAGGATGTTGGGGGGCTGAGGGGCGCCCTTGACCCCCAGCTCCGCGGCGCTTAGCACCAGAAGCAGCCACCACCTGGTCGCCACAGCAACCGCCGCCATAGCAACCAGACCAAGTGCCACAGACCCGGGAAGCTGCAGGAGCCTGACCCGCGAAGCGAGAGGTCCTTCCGGCCTGGCGATGGGGCGAGGCCACGCTATCTGAGTGACAGGAGGGGCGGGGTCAAGACTCTTGGACTAGAGGCCGGGGGGGGGTAGGGCGGGGTCAGGCCCACTGAATACCAGAAGAGGCGGGGCAAGGTCGGCTGAGTGACAGGAAAGGCGGGGTCACGGCTGACCGAAAGACAGGCGAGCGGGGCGGGGCCTGGCCGGCTTCGTGACCGGCGTCGTCGTCACGTGACGCGGCCGGTCGGGCTTCCAAGATGGCGGTGTGCGTAGCGGTGATCGCCAAGGAGGTGCGTACGCGGGCTGCAAGGCCCGCTCCAGCGTCACCTTCTTTCTCCACCTTCCCTCCTTCCCTGCCTCGGGGACTCCAGAGGGTGGGCTCTGAGACTTTGCCGAGCCTAAGTGGCCGGGGCGGGCCCGGGGTAGGCGCCGCGCAGACCTACACCTGCTGCTGCCGGAGCGTCACAAACCGCTTCCGTTCCGGGCCCCGCTCCGCCCAGCCATCGTCGGCGGGCTCTGTGGTTTTCTGCTCCGGAGTCTAGCCGTCCACTTCGGTCCGTCGTGCTCCGCCGCGCGCTTCCACCGGCCGGGCCATCGCTCACCCTCCACCCCAGACGACTGACTTGGTTTTCTCCGCTGGGCAGCTACAAATGTACCGTGGCACACCCCTGCCTAAAATCTCAACAGTGGCTTCTCATTAGGATCACGTCTGAATAACCTTCCTCCCATACCAGTGACATCCTTCACTCCAACCAACGGAATTACTTGCAGCTCCCCTGGCAGGCTGTGCTCTCTCACTGGGTCTTTACACGTGGGACCCCTCCCTCCCTCTCTTCCACTCCCGTTCTCTCCACTGGCCACCATAGATTTCACTTTCTGTATAAAGCTCTTTCAAAATCCTACGATTGAGCTGCGTGGCCATTCACCCGCCCCTACTACAGGGAACCTTGGTAGCCTCACAACCTTTTGTTAAGACCAGGCTTCTACCAAAAAAAAAAAAAAAAAAGACCAGGCTTCTGAGGCTGGTCTCCCGTGAAGCTCCTGTTACGCTGGGTTCTGTGTTAGCACGTGCTGCATTATTTGTTGGTGGGTCTGTGGACTGTCTCCTTCACCCAATGTCATCCCTATCAGTCAGGGTAAAGGCAGTGTTGTGCACACTATATCTGTGTAGCACCAGGCCTGTGGCAGCCTGGGAAGATGCTGTTTAAACTCTAGGGTTAGGTTGCTCCAAAATGGCTCTGCAGAGATGGAGGTCTGAGCTGAGCCTTAAAGGGTCGAGAATGAGTCTGCCAGCGCCTCTGCCCAGGTGACATTTGCAGGAGTTGGCATTTTGGGAAACAGCCAGTATCATGGGATTAGGAGAAAGGCACCTGCTAGGGTGGGGCCTTGTTTTCTGGGCCTGTGCACCCAGGGTGGATCTTCGTCATTTCAGCCACCATCATCCTTTTCTTGCAGAATTATCCTCTTTACATCCGCAGCGTCCCCACGGAGAATGAGCTCAAGTTCCACTACATGGTGCACACATCCCTGGACGTGGTGGATGAGAAGATCTCTGCCATGGGGAAGGCCTTGGTGGACCAGAGGGAGCTCTACCTAGGCCTGCTCTATCCTACAGAAGACTACAAGGTGTATCCTTTTGTCTGTCAGCGACTTCAAGTCTGGGGATTTCCTGCAGTCACGGGGTGCACTGTAGCATCAGGTTCCCTTGAAAAGCATCTTATAACGTCACTTGGAAAGGAAAAAAGATGTGGGCTTTTGACCAATGGAGAATTAGAGCAGCTTGAGACCAATTAGGACTTCATACCCTTTTTTCTTTAGTTAAGAGGATGATGTGGGAACAGCCAGGCTTGAGTTGCCTGGAGAATTGTGACAGTCCTCACTTGTCCCTGGAGTTTGTGGAGGGACTGGGGACTCTCTAGCGTCATGCCTGCAAGGACGCCTTCTCGTGCCGTCCCAGCAGGACCACCGCCTCCTGAGCCAGGGGTCATCGTTCACTCATCTCTTTTTCAGGCTCAGCCCCACCTGTCTCTCTAAGATCTTGACCAGGACAAATTACTCCAAAACCCATGGAGTTCAAAGACATTCCAACAAGTATTTAATAGTAATGAGTTTTCCCAGTGTCACTGCCTGGGAGCCACTGGTCCACAAGACAAAGTGGCCTTTAGAGGTGTGGGTACCTTAGGCAGCCTGCACCTCGTTTGTGCAACCTCTGGTTTTGCAGTTAACTCTCTGGGGCTGGGAATTGATGCACAGAGAGGGCGAGGTGCCCCAGGGTTTGGGCAGGACTTGAGTTGTGACAGGCCTTAGTTGCCTGCCCTCTGCTCCTCCATCAAACACCGAAAACTGTATAAGGAAGTGTCCGGTCACACCCGGCGTGGCCCTGTGTCCTCCTGGCACTGCGAGACAGGCCCAGCCCAGGGCTGGTGTTGTGATGCAGGTTGTCATGCACCTCCAGAGCAGCTGAGGAGCTGGGGAACATGTGCAGATGGCCCTGCGCTCACAGACTCTGCAGTTACGAGTCCCTGTGTTATGAGCTAATTCCCTAACCAGCTGTGCAGATACGGCTATGTGACCAACTCCAAGGTGAAGTTTGTCATGGTAGTGGATTCCTCCAACACAGCACTCAGAGACAACGAGATCCGCAGTGTGAGTGTGGGGACTGGTGACTTGATTTTCCGTGTTTCTTTAGAAATGCTGAGAAGTCCCCAGCGTGGTGGCAGCTGTGCGTCTGTGTGAAGTAAACATGTTGTTGCTTGTTTCAGATGTTCCGGAAGCTGCACAACTCCTACACAGATGTAATGTGCAACCCCTTCTATAACCCCGGGGACCGCATTCAGTCCAGGTGGGCGTGGCGCCTTCTCTGGTAACCCCTGCCCTGCTGAGAGGCAGCAATTCTGAGAGGGATGGAGAGAGGGAAGGTCTTTTTAAGCAACAGGCACTGTGCCTCTAAGGCAGCTGTTCTGAAATGGCATAACCCTGTTTTCCCAAACAAACGCTTACATGGATCTCCAACATGTGAAACAGAAGGGGAGTTCCCAGCAGGTACTGGGGCGCCTCCCCAGATCCCAGTGAGGGCCCAGGCATGTGGACAGGAGCCTTCCGGGAGAAAACGTTCTCTTGCCAGTGCTGATTTTGTCTTTGACATTGAACTTGGATGATTAGAAAATTAAATTACAGATATTTTCCAAATAGCCTTCAGGTAAACACAGACAAAACACTGAAACGTCAAAAAAGATGTTTCCCAAAGAAGCGTTCATGTGTATGTGCTCCAGAACTGCTCCTGGGAATTCCCTGCATTCCCAACAGGTGACTCCAGCCAGACCCTTCCTGTGGCACCTCCCCTCAGTGGTGACACTGTGTCTTGGGTCATCCGGGGTCCCACCCCTGACTGGAGACCCAGCCAGGACAGCTCTGTGGAAAGCCACGCAGGAGTGAGGCAGGAGACTCAGATTCTCACCACCCAGTGTGGGAGGATGCACATGCGGGCTTCAGCCAGCTTCACTTACCTGGACCTGGGAGACTGACGTCTCTGCCAGCCAGGGATGGAGGGCGGGTGTAGGTCTGCCTCTTTGATTGGTCTATTTCTTTCTACAGGGCCTTCGATGGCATGGTGACTTCCATGATGATCCAGGTCTGCTGAGCAGAGCTCTGCAGCCCCTGGCTGGAAGGAATGGTTCTGTACATAACCGCGTTATCCAGTTGTCTGTTCATCTCACTTGCCTCTCCTGGGGGTCCCTGGGGGCAGGGCCTCATGCTTGGGGCATGTTGACTAAAGGTCTTGTGGGATCAGCTTTGGGTTTTTTCTTCTGAGACAGCAGAGGCTTTAATTAAAGAGAGTTTAGGGACTCCCCTAGTGGTCCAGTGATTAGGACTCTGAGCATCCACTGCAGGGAGCCCAGGTTTGATCCCTGGTGGGGAAACTAAGATCCTGCAATTTGTGTACTACACCCCAAAAAAAGAGTTTACGTGGGACTTTACAGGGGACAGAGCTGATCAGGGACCAGATGGAACAGGAACTCTTGTTCCCACCAGGCACGAAGGGGCAGGGAGAGCCTGGTGGCAAGAGCTCCTGGAGCTTGGAGCCCTGAAGAGGCTTCAAAGGAAGGGCAGAAGACCTGTAGACCAGCCACCCTGCTGCGTCTATGCCCTGGCTGCACCCCCCAGTGACTGAGAAGGTGGGCTTGTCTGGAGGGGTCAGCCTCCTGTGCCCAGAGCCCAGTTAGAGGGGCACGTGGGATGGCCTGCACACCTTCCCCTGGGGGTGGGGCTTCCCCTTTCTGGTCTTGCTCCACCCTGGAAGGCTGCCTTCTTGAGACCATGTAGCTATCATCTTATCAACTGCTGGTGGACATCAAATGAGCAAACTCTTTGAGAGTCCCCTTCTGCCTCCTCAGTTACTCTGGAGGGGGTCTCTGGCCAGGAGAAAGGTGGCTTAGACTCATTGGGAGTGTGGAAGCTGTGATCTGTGAGTGTTGGCAGCCCAGGGCTAGATCTGGGGTGTGTTCTGCTCCGCTTATGAAGTTTTTTTTATAATTACAGAAATTTAAAAAAAAAAAAGCTCAGAGTGTATGTGAAAGGCACAAGTCCCAGGTTCCCCACCACCACCAGCCTACACACACACACACACACACACACACACGAATCACAGGACCTAGACAAGGGCCAACACACACAGACACACACACACGGAATCACAGGACCTAGACGAGGGCCAACACACACACACACACACACGGAATCACAGGACCTAGACGAGGGCCAAGAAGTGTGATCAGCAGATATGGGGCTGATGCAGCCATCTTCACATGGGCTTTCTCCCCAGTCCATCCTCAGATCTCTGGTTGAGCTGTTACTAGTAATCTCTCCTGCCTGAGAAAATGACTGAAGCAGGGATTGCAGTTTGCTAAGCTGACATCCATTCTGCCTTGTTTCTTTACTAATAGATCCCCAGTGTTATTGGAGACAATTGGCCAGACAAAATATACTTCCTTATCCTCACATGGGTAGGTCATTGTGGCATGTAAGTGGATGATGTTGGGAAACACTTGCAGGAAAGAGATTTAAAAGAGGGATTTAGCTGGCAGTACCTTCACCTTTTCCCTTCTTCTGTCCTGGAACTTGGATGTGATGGCTGGAGCTTAGGAAGCTATCTTGACAGCATGCAGACAAGATTCATCCTCTAAGGATGGGGAGCAGAAAACTAGGCTAAGTCTGGGTCTTTGCTGACATACCAGTCCTGAATGTTCAGCATTTTTTTTTTAATGAAAAAATAAAACCCTTACCTTGTTGAAGCCACTGTTGTTTGGGTTTTCCTGTAGGTGGAGCCAGACCAACCCATAAATGGCTTTACATTTAAGGGTTTTCACATGCATTTCCATTTTCAGCCTGAGAAAATAAGGGTTAGAAGTAATATGCTTGCCTTGGCCAACAGAACTCTCAGATAGCGCTTTCACCTTAACTTCTATTTTCTTCATACCATGAGGCTGGCCTCAATGAAGGCCGCCTGCCTGCGTCCCCTGCCACCTCAGGCCCATCCTCCCTCCAGGGCTGAGCCCTATCAGATGCAGCTCCTACTCAGCCCTTGGCTGTTGCACCAGTGATTTCTGTTGAAGTTGGTCTTCCCTCCCCATCAGCATTCCTTCTCCCTTCTGTGTCAGGCCAGATGGGCCAAGAGGATGCTGCGTGTCTTGGCTTCCTCTGGGTACAGCTAAGGAAGTGTGGGTCGGAGCTCTGGCTGCCCATGTGGGCTGCTCAGACCTGAAATCCAAGGGAAAGGAGTGCCTCCCAGGTCCATTCTCCTTGAAGTGGCCATACAGAAGGGATTAAGAAGGTACTTCTGAAAAGGGACCAGTTCCTTGGGGTAGATGCCTGTCAGCAGGTTACTTACAGAAAAGCAACTTGCAGGGACTTCCCTGGTGGTCCCAGTGGCTAAGGTTCTGCACTCCCAGTGCAGGGGGCTGAGGTTCAATATCTGGTCAGGGAACTAGATCCCACACACTGCAACTGAGAGTTCACATGCCATAACTAAAGATCCTGCAAGTTGCAACTAACAGATCCCACATGCCACAACTGAGACCCAGCACAGCCAAAGAAATACACGTTTTCTAAAAAGAAAAGCAATGTGCACAGTGACAGTGTGTAGCCTGCTTGCCAAGGAGGGCACTGACCTGAGGTGTGGAGCCGCAGGAGCTGGTGCTTCATGAAATTCAGCTCCAGGGTGTGGTGCAGGCAGCCTGTCTCTTCTGCAGCCCCATAAATGCACAGGGTCCTGGCAAGGGCCCTGCCACTCAGCGCCTCACACCCATCTCCAGGGGTGGGCAGTGGTGTGTATGTGTGAGCGTGCTGGTGCATGTGTAGAAATAGAATCTATTCTCTCACATGGTTCTGGGGGCCAGAGTCGGAGACCGAGGGGTTGGCAGGGCTGGTTCATCCTGGAGGCTCTGAGGGAGGGTCTTTTCAGCCTCTCCAGCTTCCAATGATGGCCACAGCCGTCGTGGCTCCTTGGTTTATGGACACATCACTGCAACTTCTGCTGTCTCCACATTGCTTTCTCCATGTGTCTCATACCCAGTTTGTGTCACTGGGTTTAGGGCCACGCAGCTGATGCTTAGTTGCATCTGCAAAGACCCCTTTTCCAAATAAGATCACATCTACAAGCACTGGAGATTATGATGCAGACATAATTTTGGGGGGTTGTCATTCATGCCTCTGTAAGGACCATTGTGATCCCAGATCAGTAGGGGAATGTGAACCTGGCCTGATGGACACGTGGATGGAGAGCAGAGGCCTACTTGCCCTGCCAAGAGAATGCTGCCTTCACTGGTGCTGTAAAGGGGACCCTGGGGACTGGGGACTGGGGACCTTTGGGGCTTGGAGCCCCAGAGCAGCTGTGTTTGAAACTTGAGTAGCTGATAACTGAAAGGTTACAAGGCAAAGAGGGTTTCTTTAGAGAAGCCCAGGGAGAGGTTTTTTAGTTACTTAAGGCTGTAACCGAGTGTGTCTGCAGCCCAGACCCACAGCTTCCTTCCTCAGCTCTGAGCTGAGCGTAATCAGTGCACACTGCCTCTTCAGGGAGAGAGTGGGGCATCTGTCTTGGGGGCGGGGCGGTTCAGGGCACAGGCAGGGGGCCCGGCATGGAAACCTCTGCATTCAGGTCTCACCAGGGCCGGGCCTGTGCCAGGTGCACCCTCCCTCTGTCACTCGTCATGGGCCGAGCATGTGTCCCGGAGGCCACCAGACCTGGGGTGAAGACACAGCAACAGCTTGCCCCTACGGTGTGAGGGGGCTGCCCATTGGCTGTTAGCGTGCGTCTCAGATTGAGTCACCCATCAACTGCTTTCTCTGCACCTGAGGAAACAGCGTCCAAGTGAGGCGAATAAAGGGGACACTGTTGCCATGTGCCTTTAAAAAATATTCAAGTTTAATAATTTATACTTTACCAATAAGACACATATTTCTACTTTTCTATAAAAGGCGTTAGTGGAACATCCCTGAGTAAGTCGAGCCGGCGCTGACCCCGTGGTTACCGGACCTCACCTGCCCACAGCTTCGTCCCATGCCCTCCACAGCCCTGACTGGTTCCGCGCCAAACCCACCCTGTGCCCCGCTCCGTGCACGGTGGCCTCGGTGGGGTCCGGCAGTCTTCCAGCGGAATGAAGGGGGCGGAGAAGTTATTCTTAGGAGCACCGCTGTTGATTCCTGACCAAGTGGCAAACCCCACTCTCAAAATCCGGTTCTCGCTTCAATACGGAGAAAACCACGGTGAGAATCTTCCGCGTCCCCTGCGGGAAGGAGAATGGGAGGTAAGCGGCCTCCAGAGCTCCGCCCACAGGGCCCCGCCCCCGCCCACAGGGCCCCGCCCCCGCCCCAATAGGATCCCGCCCTCCCAGGGCCCTGCCCACCGGCTCCGCCCTCGTTGTCTGAAACGGGCCCCGCCTTGGAGGCCGCTGTGGGGGAAGGATCCCACTCTGGCGCCTGGGTGTCCTCGAAGGCCTCCGCGGTCCGTGGAACTGATCCCTGGTAAATTGGTCCTTTTGGGCAGCACCTGGAAACAAAGGCCAAGTCCGCCTGAGACTCTGTTCTCATATCCTCCTCCCCACCCCTAGCCAAGACGAAGACTAAAGCTGCCTTCCGGGGTTTCCCTGCTGAAGGCTCTTAAGCAGGTGACCATAGGCCCCAGCACCCAACAGGCCCTGGCGGCCCCAGGGCATGAGGCTGCCTGAGACATCAGACCCTAGCCTGGTCCCAGTCATCTCAAGATCCCCACTTAGGCCACAACAGTCCAGCCACAGCCTCAGTCAAGCCAGCATCTCCCCCTGCAGGTGGAGTCTGGGTCAGGAAGGAAGCCGCAGTCCAGGAGATGTGCCCAAACACCAGAGACTGGCAAAGGGCCAGGCTGGGGCAGCTGTGTGTCCTTGCCACTTGCCCCACCCCCACCCCCTCATCTTGCAGTGACACACACCTTGATGACCCGGCCTCGAAAGATGCTCTTGTCCAGCTCCACAGCGGCCTGGGCCGAACTCTCAGTGGCAAACTCTATGTAGGCATAGCTGGGATGGAGCAGGGGCCAGTGAGGGGAATGCTTACCCAGGCATAGCTGTCCTCCCCGGGCACCGGACCCTTCCTCGAGGTCACCTCCCCAAGGCCCCACACTGACCCCTTGGGGTGTCCAGAGAACTTGTCGCACAGGATGGTGACCCGGTGGATCTCCCCGCAGTGGTTGAAATAGGCCTCCAGCTCCTGGGCCGTGCCCCCATAGTCCACCTGCCAGGCACAGGCCATGATGGGAGGCCTTGTGCACCGGCCTCCCCCTCCCAGGGGCTCCTGCAGCACGTTTGCTTGGTAGAGAGGGGTTGATTGGGCCCCGGGGTGGGGGATAGTAGCTTGGGCCTCTGTCCCCCACCCCTTTTGGAGGAGGGGACTGGCTACCCAGAGGAACGTTCCCCAAGTTCACTGGCCTAGGCAGGGGTTGTGGTTTTTCTGAGTGGAATTTGTTGCCAGTGATCTGCTCACCCGGAGACTGCACGTAGAAACCCTGAATCCCAGGCTACAGTGGGTCTGACCACAAAGAGTCCGCACTCCCTCTTGGGGATGCCCCCTCATTGGACCCCCAACCCAGGCCACAGTGGGTCTGACCACAGAGGGTCTCCGCTCCCTCTTGGAGATGCCCCTTCATCAGACGCCCCTCCTGTTTCTCCTTTTCAGGCCTGTGTGGCTTTGGAGTCTGCCCCTGAAACACGGCCCTTCGCCCTTCCTTTAATCCTCTCAGCAGGGAGGGGGCTGCAGTTGCCCTTCTCCCCTCACTCACATTGCCCACATAGACGGATCTGTGGTCAGCCGCAGCCTTCTCCAGGGGGCTGTCTGTGGAGAGAGGGGCTTCAGGACCAGGGGCTTGTCCTGGGCAGGGGGCTCCCGGCGGCTGCTAAGGGCAGGCACCCCACCTGGGTGGCTCAGTCCTCATTCCTCCGGGAAGAGGTGCACCCGTATCTCTCAGGGACTCTTGGGGAAGACCACCCCTTGGGGCTTATCCAGAAGGCCCCACTGCCAGGCTGGGCCTCATGGAAACCCCAGCCTCTCCCTGGGAGTTTGCAATCATCCCAATTTACCAGGAAAGGGGGCTCAGAGCCATGCAACTGAGGACTCAGGCCCGCGGCCCAGGACAGTGGTCGGCCTGGTCCGCTGGCTCCTACCTGTCTCGGGACTCAGTAACTGCCTGGCCAGCAAGGCCCCAGCAGCTTCCTCTTCTTCATCCAGTTCCTGCACCCTGGGCGGCTCCGGCCCCTGGGCCTGCTCCATGGCCCACAGCTTCAGTTTGATGGCCTCCAGCTCCTGCCAGCACATGGCCCAGGCTGAGCCTCGAGGTGGGACGGCCCCAGGCTTCCCTGGAGTGAGGACAGAGGGGATGGGCCTGCCTGTCCTCAGGTCATGCTGGGGGCTCCCCGGAGGGGTGAGGGAAGCGGTAAGAACCCGGGCCTGCAGGAAGCCCCTTTTATCCACCCCAACACACAGAGGTCTCTCCAGCCTATGTGTGGCGGGTGTCCATCCCTACACTCTCCTCCAGGCGGGGGACAGTGGCCCTCTGACCCCTGGAGGCAGAGCTACAGCAGTCTATCCTCCGGCCCTAGGTTCTTCCAGTTCCCAAGATCCCGCTGGCTTCCCCCAGGTGTTCCGCTCAGTGGTTACCTGGTCAGGCACTGGGCACTCAGCCAGGCCCTCCCTCTCCAAGAGAGACAGCAGGAAGCCGGCATCTTCCTCATCGTCTTCCTCAGCTTCCCCCATCTCCTCCTCCCCGCCAGCCCCCAGGCCCAGACGGGCCTTCTCAGCTGGGCTCCAGGCCCCCCAGCCCTGGGCCTCAGGGTCTGAGGAAGCCCTCTGGAGCCAGGCCTCAGTAGGGGGAGGGAAGAGGGCGCGGCTAAGGAAGGGCCACATGGCGGCAGGGGTATGGGGCAGGCCAGGCTTCCGGGCTCGCTCCACGCCAGCACCTGCCTGCGCCCTCCTGGGTTTTAAGCCCGCCCTCCCAGGCCAGGTGTTCCCACTAGAGGCTTCAGCAGTCTCCTGTCTGGGGCCAAGCCTCCACTCTGGCTTCTGGGCCCTCAGGGATCAGAGGCCAGACCCCCACCCCGGGCCCTTCTTCCTTGCAGGGTGACCCCTCCAGGACACTCAAGATGGAGAGGGTGCAGCTGAGGTGGGGCTCAGAGGTCTAGTCCCCCACAGCTCAGCCTCACCCGCCAGGATGCAGGAGTTGTCCACGGGGTTGTCTATGGGGTTGTTGTCCACACGCCTTGCCATGTCATGCTTCCAGTGGTCGACCACTGTTAGGATGACACCAGCACGAGCAAGTTACCTGAGTATGCAGAAGCGAAAGTGGGGCATGGGGGGCAGAGCAGGCTTCCCGGAGGAGGTGGCGTTTGAGCCAGCCTTCACAGATTGGGTCAGGCAGAGCCGAGGCGAGCGTGGCCTAGGTGGAGGGAACAGCTTGAACAAAGGTCTGGAGGTGGGGGTTGGGTACCACGGGGTCAGAGGTCTTGCAGAGTGGGGTACTGGGCCAGAGGAGAGACGTCCCTCCTCTTGACCCCCGTGGATCTCCCACAGACCCTCCCCCCTCAACCCTAGCTCTTAGGTTGGAACCCTTGAGGAAACCGCAGGCCTGTGCAGATCAGGCCTGGATACCGGGGGCTTGACGGCAGCTTGTCAAATCTTGGCCTCTTCCCCTCATTCTCCTCAAGGGCGGCTGCAGGCCTGTGTCCCTGGGTGCCTTGGTTTCCGGTCTCCCCTCCCAGCAGCTGCTCTGGCCTTTTTGCGCCCTGGTATGGCATCCTCCTGAGTGTTTGCTCACCCAGCACGTATCGCACCCTCCAGGCTGTAGCTGGTAGGTGCCCATTGGACCTCTCAGGGTCTCTTTCCTGGGATGTGGAGCTGGGTGATGGGAGAGCTGAAGCCTGTGGACTTTGGGGGCCAGAGGTGGGAGGACGAGGCATGTGCTGTAGGGCCCGCAGTGGCTGCCTTTTTCCTCTTGGCTCTGTTCTCACCTCTGGAGAAGCTGAACTAAGCCTGTGTTGTCCCCCCTCCACCACCCGGGCCCTGGAGGGAAAGGAGCGGGCCTGAGCTGGCTGTCAGCCTATAGGCATGGCCTCCTAGCTCCCAGCCCTCCTGCTTGTGACAGCTCTTCTCCCCTTGGCTGCACATGACTTCATGCACCTGCATGTCTGAGGCCCCCGGGGCACTATTGCCAGTGTGCTGCTGCTTCCAGGAAGCCCTCCTGATTGCTCCCTCTTGTGGCCGCAGTGCCCAGGCCTCTGTTGGTCCTGTGTAAGGCACATGTCCCCAGGTTCCCCCCACCCCGGCTGGCCAGAGTGTCTCAAGGGCAGCACTGAGGACATGGCCCCGGCCCAAGGCTGGTGGATGAGGACAGAAGTGTGGCTGCCGCAGGTCTCTCATAGCTCAGGTCAGTCAGCTACCCTCACTTGAGGGCCAAGACTCCATGAAGGGGCTCTGGCCCGGGCGCCTCCCTCTACCTCCACATGGGTGAGGGACAGCATGGCGGCTGTGTCCAAGCCAAGGGCCGGCTGGACTCTGGCCTGGCTCGGCAGGCTCCTCTGAGCTCAGACCTCTGCAATGGAAAATTGCTGTCATCCCCTCTGTGCCGGCACTGCTGACACACCAGGCCTGCTGGGGCTCCCGCCAGCCGCCTGGCGTGGGGACAGGCTCGCCCCCACGCTGGCCTTTCCAGTGACGCCGTTCAGAATACACCATGTTCCAGGCTGGGCTGGAGTATTAATAACAGCCTCCTCCCAGGACCGCCCCCAATCCCAGAGCCCTAGCCTGGGACACCCACTCTGGGCAGGACCTGCCCTGTGAGCCGGGATACTATGGCAGGGACACCCCGGCTCTTTGGGGTCAAGGTGTCCCTTCCCTCGGCGTCCACCCTCAGAGCTTGTGGATGGTGCCTACACGGCCACAGGGAGGGGTGCTCGGGCCCTTGAAGCCTTGAAGTTGAGGTCGTCCCAACCAACTCGAGGACACACCTTTGAGTGTTCACCATCCCCCACCACCACCACCCCCGCGCCCCTTGGCCAGAACTCAGGAGGCAAGTCATCTGCCCCGTCCGGCTGACACTCCCACCCTGCGTCACATGTTCGTCCACCCTCATGGGGCAGGGTCTTGTCCCTCTTGCCTGGCCCTGAGAAGGCCCCCACACGAATCTGTGTGAAGTGGGGGTAGACGGAGTCGCCGGACACTCAAGGAGACGTGGAACCCGTGTTGGCGAACGGCGGCTTTATTCCATGACACAGAACCCACGGGGCCTCGAACAGAGAGATGGGGGGCGTGGGAGGGTGGCTGCCAGGACCCCGCCCAGCATGGAGGAAGACGCCCCGGCCCCTTTGGGAGAATTAAAACATAGCGTGAGATAAAAAGAAGAGGACGTGGACAGTCTGTCCCCACCAAGATGTGTGTGGCTGTGCCCGGCCCGGCTCCCACTGCCGGAGCCCCTCACCCACGGAGGCCGGCCTGGTTGGGCCCCTAGCCCTACATTCAGACGTTTAAGGTCGGGCTCCCATTGAGCCCGCTATGTTGCATAACTGCTGTAGGGGGTCTCTGGTGAGGCGCCCCAGGGGCCGACTTAATTGAAATGAAAAGAAAAGGAAGCAGGCAGACAGAGTTTTCTGAACACTTCAGACCATATGGGTTGCTCCAGACAGCCGGCTCCCCAGGCCTCCTCCGTGTGGACTGTCCAGGCCCCTCAACTCCGCCACCTCCTACTTGGCCAGCAGGATGAATCTGGTGGGGGGAGGGGGGACTGGAAGATACCTGTGGGCCGTGGGGGCCTGCAGGCAGTTGTGCGGCCGCAGGGGCCAGGGAGAGATGAGGTGGGGGCTGCACTAGGCCTCCAGGATCCTGGGAATGCCGGCCTCATCAGCCTGGGTGGGGCTCCTTCTCTGCTCTCCAGCTCTGAGGGGCTGACTCCCAGCTCTGGGACCCCCAGATGGAAGACAGGCGAGGAGGGAAGGTAGAGCCAACAATGAGTACCCGGAGAAGGGGCTCTGGGAGCCCTGGTGTCTGGTGCCAGCCAGCTTGGGGCTCTGCCTCCCTCCCTTCCTGGGAGCGCCTCTGGGCAGTGACCCCTGGTGACAAGGAAAGCAGCAGGCATTGTGCCCGACTCCCCCAGTCCGCCCTCAGCAGTGTCCAAGTCTTGCCAGGGAATGTGCCTCCCTGACGGATGGCCCTGGTCACAGGGTCCCTGAGCAGCTGTGTGGGCCGCCTCCAGCACCTCTCCTGGCCCAAGGCCACCACACTTGCCAGGCGGGCCCAGACTGGCCAGAGCTGTTGCTACAGTGTAGGTCCAATCTGCCTACAATGCCTGTAGTGGAACCTGGTCTGTCCCTGGAGCAGGCCTGGATTCATGGGAGGGGCACTGGGAGGGGATGGCCAAGGTGGCTTTGGGTCAATGAGGGTGTTGGTGCTACACTGGGTCCTGGCTGGGGATGGGCTGAGGCATGGTTGTGTGGGTTAGATGGAGACACATGCATGGCGTGCAGACAGGCGGATGGTGGAAGGATGAATGGGGGACCAGGTGACAAAGAGTAATGGACAGACGGACAAATGGATGGACGGATGAGTGAGAGACTGGATGGCCAGAGAGGTGACCAGATTGGTCAGAAGGATGAACTGATAAAAGAATCAATAGATAATTTACAGATAGCCTGAAGAGATGGGCAAAACAATGGGCAGACACATGTGCTATAGAACTGGGTCAGGCAAGGTGGGTGGACTCTGGTGTCCTTTTGAGGATGTATCTGGAAGAACTGGTGAATAGGAGGGAGTCAGGGCCGGTCCTGACCTCTCTCCACAGTGTCATTGGGATGAAACCAGAAGGAAGACCCCTCTCCTGGCCCCTTCCCAGAAGGCCGGCTCCTCCGTCTTACAGCCTGCACCCTCCTGGCCCTGAGGCTTTCTCCAGCTCTCCTCTCTGCCCTGTAGTACCCAAGGCTTTCCTTTGGTCCTGGTGGGCCATAGGGATAGGAAGCCTCCTAATTCCGACAGGGTCTGAGGTGTGCCAGCCTGTCCACACAGGGAATGGGGGGCATTGGTCTTTGCCAACAGAATACCCCCAGACACCACGTGGGGACAGTGACACATCCTAGGAGAACAGCCAGAGAGCACAGTGGGTGGGCAAGGTCGAAGGGCCTCACATCAGGGGCTTTCCACGGGAGTCAGGGGGCCCGGGCCAGCATCTGCCACCCTGGTCTTTCCATCCTCCCTGGTGTGGTCTGGTGGGCTGGCAGCTGTGGCTGCCACCCACCTCTCTCTGCCCTCCTGTCCTTACTCTGGCCTCAGAATGGGGGTAAAGCTGCTGTTTCGGCCTGACTTGCGGGGAGGGAGGCTCTGCCAGCAGCCGCATCTAACAGAGCTTTGGGGTCACCAGCGTGTCGAAGCTGGCCTCCTGGGAGGATATCCCCACACATGCACCAACTGCCACAGAGCCCAAGGGCAGGACGGCCTCGGGGCAGAGAGAAGAGGCGGGACCCCTTCTGTCCAGACGTCCTCTTTGCTTAAGAAAGGCAGCTGCCGCAGATGCAAACTGTGGGAAAACACGGACCCCCAGTCCCCTTCCCACCAGGGCTACTCATTCTGAGTTTGCCTCTTCAAGCAGGGCCTGAATGCAGTGACTAACAGAAACAGGCTCTAAGGGCACGGAGGAGGCCTGCCTCGTGTGACCCGGCTCGCACCTTTGGGATCTGCTGACACGGCGCCCACAGGGACGCCCCCTCCCTCCCACTCTGGGCCTCAGCCTTCGACTGTGCTGCCCACCCGGCCACCACCCTCTGACCCTGTGGACACTCTCTGGCAGCAGGGGCTCTGTCCGTCGGTCTGTGGCCGGCCCCTCACGTGAGGCTTCGGCAGCCCCGGCCAGCGGCAGGTCTTGGTGTATGAGATACAGGTGTGGAGGGTCACACCAGGAAGACAGCTTTTCCTGGGGGGCTTGCAGCGACCTCTTCCCAACAACTGGGGTGGGAGGGACTGCCCCACTTCAGACCCTCAGCCTGTGGTCTGGCCCTGCAGGCTGGTCTGGACTGACGCCACCAACTGGCCAATATGCTACCACCCCTGGTGTGCCCGCCTGTCCTTGAAGAGGAGCAGAGGCCAGCCAAGCCCACCCGCGGGGCTGCAGTAGTCCTGACATCAGGGCCTTGGACCACCCCCCTGCCCCACCAGACCCCAGGCTGCCCTGGGCACCACCCACGCCCGCCTACCAGCAACCTCATAGGAACAGAGGCCAAGGGGAGGTGGGCCTACATCATAGCATGTGCAAAACTGCCATTCCAACAGGTTCAGCGCTTGTAAGAGAACAGACTGCACGTGCGACAGGTGCCTCATGAAAGCCTGAATCCCACATGGCCCCTGCTCTTCTGAAACCCACAGAAGTGAGCCTCTGAGAGGCTGGCAGCCCTGCGCAGCCCACAGGCTTTCTGGAGGGTGAGAGGTCTAGCTGGGCGGTCAGAGTTAGGACTCCTGCCAGGTGGGGTTTGAACAGCACCTCGTCTGTGGTGACCAGATGGAGTCCTTCCTCTCAGTACTCAAAGGATAAGTTCTCACAACTCTGGAAAGTAACAGTGATCAACACACACATTGCTGCCTGGAAGACCACAGTTCGGATTTCTCTGAAAACCTAGTTCCTATGCTTTACATACCTCCATGGTTTCTCTTAATTTTTTATTTGGCAAACATCTCTTCTTTATTATCATCATCATGAATATCATCATTTGGACCTCTGCAAGGACTATATACATTCACATTATCATATACCATTGACTTCTTGCCTCTTGGCAGGCCCCTGGGCTCTCGGTTTCAGTAGCTGGTCACTATTGCACTCCAGTCCTGGAACTTCTTACAGCCATGCAGTAAAACCCCGATCAGAGACCGTGTCTGCTGTTTGTTCTCCCACTGAGTACAGATCAGAATTTCCTTTTTCCTTTATTTCCTCCTTGAGATCGCTGGGGGAGCGAGTGGGATGGGGGTCAGGGTGAGGCGTGTGGCGGGGACTTCAGAGAGACCATCCCCTGAGGAAGAGCTGGACAAAAATGCAGGGTTATATACAGCTGGTCAAGTCTCCAGAAGGTGCAGGGAGGGCAAATTGCTTTTCTTTGTGGGTTTTTTTTTTTTTTTCCTTTTTCTGCAAAAGTGTGACGACAGGAGAGGGGCTGCAGGAAACACGGGGGCTGGGACGGAGAGACGAGCTGGGCGACAGGCTCGTGTAGCGGGCGGCAGAGGTAGAGGAGGACGAGGAGAAGCAGCAGTGGAAGGCATGGTGGCTGTCTCCTCGCGCTCGGAAAAGCGGTCGAGAATCAACCCGAAAGATTGTCACAGTTTTGTCTCGGAATTATATTCTCTCTCGGAAGGACACATTAGCACTTTTTTTCACAAGTGGAAAGGATGAGATGTGATGGAAATTCACAGAGGGTGTGAGGACGGACAAGATTACCCTTCCTGCGCGTGTGCAGATGCATGCTGGGTGTGTCCCAGCACACATGCACACACACACTTGCACACACGTGTGGGTGCCAAGGGCCTCACTGCCCACCCCACCCGGCCCCAGTGGAGGCGCTGCCATGGAGTTGAAAAGAAAGAAGTTGCTTCCTGTTGGACAAAACACTCCAAACCCCAATACCCCATCGCCCCCCAAACAGAATCAAAGCAAGAGAAAAGACGGACATTGGAACAAGCCCAGGCGTGGAGGAAAAACAGTGAAAAACATCCTTTGGCAGTGACAAAAAAATTTTGGATTTTGACTTCTTGTGTATGTTTTTTGGATTTCCTTTGGAGCAGAGGTGTGTCCGGCGTCCTTGGCTAGCTAGCTGGCAAGGTAGTTTACAGGTATGCTTCCTTTCAGTTCAGTTCATTTCCGTCGCTCAGTCGTGTCCGACTCTTTGCGACCCCATGGACTGCAGCATGCTTCCTTTACCTTTTTTTTAAAAAACTTTTTGGATTTCTACTTAAAGCCAAAGAATTTGACATTAAAGGAGAAAAAATTCTGAAATGAAAAATTACAACTTGAGTCTGACATCTTTCTCACCAGCCTCACCGCATTGGCCACACACCCCTGGGGCGGTTTCTGTGAACTGGCGGCTCGGATCTCTGGCTATGAAAGAACAGTTTTCCTTTTCCCTTTTGAATCAGGCAAGGGGAGAAAACCTCAGTTTTCTTTGTCCATTTCTGAGTAGCTCTCTTGCCACAAAGTCCCCCAAAATTCTTCAATGAAAATATAAGCCACCAAACAATTCTATTTTTTCATTGAAGAGAAAGTATGTGAAAGTCATAAAGAGAGAAAAACAAGACAGAGAGCAAGACAGGGAGGGAGAGGTGCGTGTGGACGAGCTGATCACCTCTGGCTGGGCGTCCACCTGCCGCCTCAAGTTCAGCGGGCAGTTTCTGAGGATTCGGAAGAGGTCGAGGCGTGATCATCAGGTAGCTGAGGAAGTCGTGTGGATGCAGTCTTGTTGGTTCTGTTTTCTTTTGGAGAGAAGCAGTAGCAGCGGTGACTCCCATGGTTGGCTCCCAGGGCTGGGTGTGCGTCCTGCGAGCCGGGCGGGGCTGGGCAGTTCGATGGGCATCAGGTCCTGGCGGGTCAGCGGGGCGCTGCGTCCAGGGGGCCAGGTGGGCCAGGAGAGCCAGGGCGGGAAGGCCCAGTGGAGCCTGCCTCGCTGGGGCTGGCAGCGGCCGGGGGCAGGCAGGGGCCCAGGCCTGTGGCAGTGTCGGACTGTCCGGACACAGGCTCGGCTACGGCAGCCGCGGGGCCCTGCAGGCTCTGTCCGCACACATGGTGGTGCTTCTCCCAGTCCTTGTGCTGGCAGAAGGAGCCGCAGTAGCGGGCCGCGTTGCAACCGCTGCATGTCTCGCTGGCCTTGCGCCCACAATTCCAGCAGCTCTGGAGGTGAGGGGGGATGATCAGGGTGGCCCAGATTCGCCCCCTGTTTCCCCCAAGCACCCACCCAGCTGCAGACCAGGCACACGCTCCAAACACACGGGCTCAAACCCAGCCACAGCATCACAGAGCAAAAAGAGAAGAAAACTCAATGCTCCCAGGCTCGCAGGTGACCCTCTGCAGACATGGCCCCTTGCCTGGGCCACTCTAGGGGGACAGGCTCCCACCACCCCAGCCCACTCCAGACAGGTTCATGGTGTGCCATGGCCCCTTCCCTCTCTTTCAGGAATCCCTCCTGGCACTGCCAGGGCTTTGATACCAGAATGTCACAGCCTGGGCAGAGTAAAGGGGTGGTGAGTACCCACAGCTGCTGAAGTCCTTTCCCTACCTCTGGGCCCCTGCTCCTTTTTTGTGGAACAAGCAATGACCCCAGCCACCCACGTGAGCAGAAGGTGGGCAGGGATTCTACCTTCCAAAGGCTGGAGGCAGCAGCATGGGCTGTGGGGTGGGGAAGCCAAGCCTCCCTGGCAGGAAGGCCCACCTGCCCAGGTAGCCTCCCCCCCATGTGCGTCCATGGCCTGAAGCTGCACAGGCCGTCCTCCTGCGTCCCCGCTCCCTTGGTCCCTCAGACCGTCAGGTCTGTCTGCTCCAGCTGAGAGCACAGTGGAAAAGAGATGCACATGGGCATCACCTGACCGGGAGTCACCTCCTCATTCCCTCCCAGGGCCGGCCCAGCACAGACAGGCCCAGGGGATTTTGGAGAAGTGCCCTCCTTAAAGACAGTCTAGGGGCCCCTGGAGAGGGCTGCACCCTCCTCTTCACCTCTGCTTTCTGAGCCATTCTCAGACAAGGAGAGAATGTATATGGTCACCCAGGGTTCCCACCTGCCCCACCAGACCGGTCCAGCCCCCAGACACATGGGTGCCAGCATGGTGACTTGCACACCCTTCTGCTTTCAGGGGTCAGAGAGGTCGTGGGCTTTGGTGTCAGCCAGCCTGGGTTTGAACAACAGTCCCACCACTTCCCAGGGAGTGACCTGGGGTGAGCCAGCCACTCTCTGGAGGCCTCAGTTTCCACATCTGTACAATCGGGACACCCACAGGATCCTGCTCACCAGGCCACGTGGGGTCAAGAGGCTCCGGGCGGGGCTGCACAAGGTCATGTGGCTGGGAGGTGGTAGAGCCAGGGTGGCGCCCTGGACTGGGGGCGGGGGAGGGGGGCGGCCCTACCTCGCTAGAGTCCTCCTGCTGGTTGACCACAGTGAGGGCGTCCTCGGAGGCCTGCCGCCGTGCCTCGGCCAGGGCCCGCTCCATCTTGGCCCGCTCTGTGCTGATGAGCTCATGGGCCTTGCGCTCAGCGTCAGACACGGCTTTCTGCAGCTCTGACATTGCCTGCCGCTTCACCTCGTTCACCGCCTCCTCTGAAAAGGACACCTCGGGCTGTTCATCTCGTGGGCCAGCCCAGCTGGATCTCCCCTGCCCACAACCCTGGAGCGGGCAGCCAGGCATGGTTGTGGGGGGATCTCCAAAGCCTGCCCTCTACTGTGTGCAGAGTGCCACACCCTGGAGGGTGGAGGGTGGGTCAGCAGGCCTGGGAAGGCCCTGCTGGGCCCCTCCAGCATACGGGGAGGGTGGGAGAGTCTGGGGCCCCAGACCATCCCCACTCACCCGCCTTTCTCCAGATCTCCTCGGGCATGTAGCCAGACAGGGTCCGAGGCATGAACTCCCGGTGGACGTCTGAAACACAGGGACACCAGCGTCACACACAAGATGGGGCCTCGCCTGGTTGGGCCCTGGGGGCAGGGCGTGGCAGTGACCTTGGGGGTCCCTGAGGTGCACAAGGGGGAAACCCTGTCTCTGCAGCTGGTGGAGGGGGGAACAGTGCAAGGTCATGAAGGGAGACTGTCGGGGGCAATGGGCCTTGGATTTGACTGGGAGCTGGGCCAAAGTGGCCTCTCTCAGGTTCCACGGTCATCAGGCCCCCGGGGGCCTCCCAGTGCCGAGCCCCTGTCCCATCGGAACCAAGAACTGGGCCTCCCCACAGGTCAGGCAGTGTCTGTGCAGCAGCAGACCCTTCTTTTCCAGGTGGGGCAGTTTGGGTGCTATTTCCTTGCAGGGCCATGATCAGTGATGGCCTGGCCCCTGGTCCCCCTGCATTGGCCCCACACGTGACCCCCAGCGCACCTAGCTGAGCGCCCTCTGTGCCTGTGGAGCTGCCGAGGGGCCGGGCGGTCGGCCCAGGGCCCTTCTTGCTGTCCTCTGCCGCATCGCTGCAGCGCCGGATCCAGTGGTTGAGCTCCTCGCGGTCAGCCTCCTGGCAGCGGCGCAGCACAGTCAGCGACCGCCGCGTCTTCTCGGCCATGTCCATGATGCAGTTTAGGAGCTGTGGGCACCCAGGGTGGGTGAGTCGCGCGCAGAGGACAGCTGGGACACTGTCCCACACTCCTGCCCCGTCCACCCGACCGTGTGGCCTGCCCACAGCTCTTGAGGCGTTGGCTGGAAAACCCATTTCTGCTGCTGCGAAAGATCCCCAAGCACCTGCGCAAGGACTGGGGAGGCACCCAGGGCTCCCACTGGTGGGGAGACTGTCCAGGACCCAGAGCTGGAGCTCTCCTTGCAGTCCTGGAGTTGTGGTCTGCCCCGTGGAGCAGAAGGGTCAGCGCTGCTCTGGGGACCGCCCTTCTCTTGGGCTCCCCTCCCCAAAAGGACATGGGGTGGGCATGACCTGAAAATGGTGTTGAAGGGGTCCAACCTTCATGGCCAAGGGACCTTCCTCAGGGAGACCGTCCATGGCGGCCCAGGGGGGAGTGTTCTGAGGGCTGGCCAGGAGTGCAGAAGCAGAGACTTGGGCACAGGGCTGAGGGAGGGCACAGCGGCCAGCCCCTGCAGCCTCTGAAGGTTGGGCAGGGCGCCTGGGAGTGGCTGCGGCACCCCGTGGCCTGAGCCTAGACACTCACGTTATTGAGGTGCTTCCACTCTTCCGCCCACTCGCGCTCCGTGAGCCTGTGGTCAATCACTTCTTCATTCCGGGATCCATGCATTGCTGCGGAGGGAGCGTAAGCTCAGGCCCCGCCCCTGCCAATCAAGCCACGCCCCTGCTCATGCCCCCACCCAGGCCCCGCCCATAGGCTGTGCCCTCCTAGGGTAAGTGGGGAGGCGAGGAAGGGAACCCAGGGCTCTGACCCTCTCTTTGCCCACCGCCCTGGGTGGAGTGGGTTAGGAACAGGTCTCTCCTCTACTCATGCTTGAGAGGAAGAAACCAGTGTCCCCATCCCTCGCTTTGACTACTCCTTCCCCTTCCCCAAATTCAGCCACTCTCTCTTTCTGCCCCCTGCTGCCAGAGAAATGGCAGTGGACCTCACTTAAGGGGCGTCTCCACTGCTCAGGGTCTCCTTGTGGCTGCCTGGCTTCAACTCACACTTTACTGCCTTTCCTGAGCTAGCTGAACTCCTATGCACCCTCCAAAGCCCAGGTGGCAGACTCCTTCCTTCTCAGCAGCCTTGGGCTCCCAGATTCCCTTAAGCCCTGTATATCTCTGGTTGTTTAGTAATCACAGGTGCTTCCTTGCTTATTCTCAATCACCCAGCAGACTGTGTCAGTCCACAGGGCAGGGCTGGCAAGGCCTGTTCTGCTCCGTGGGCTGAGCTCCCAGGCTGAGCTCCCGCTTGGTAAGAGGGGTGCATGGCTTAATCTGCTGGGTCTCAAATAAGCAGCTCCAAGTGTGGTCTCCTGGGAAACAGTGGGGCTTGAAAAGGTCAAAAGCCCTGGCACTCATTCCCCATGGAGCCTGGGCCCCTTGTCTTACCTGTGGCCTCAGTTTCCCAGCCTCCCTGCCTCCCAAGTGGGAGGGGAGAGCCCCTGGTGTGGATGGAGGAGGGCTCTGTACTTAGTGCTTTACCCATTCACCCCTGCTTCATCCTCTAGGGGAGGGGATCATGTCGTTATTTCCATTTTACAGATGAGGAAACTGAAGCTGGTTAAGGGGACAGGTTGACCAAGGTCAAGCAAGGTCATCTGGTACTGGGGCTGTGCTCTTAGCCACTGGCTGGTACAGCTCCAGGGACTGAAACAATGGGATGCCCCCACCCCCTAAACAGAAGCAAAACAACCATGAGCTGAGAAATTCATGCCAGAGGGGCAGCATCTGGCGTTCTCATAGCTTCTCCTCTTATACTGCTTGAAATACCGAACACGATCACCCTCACTGTGACCCAGCATGTTCCATGCTTCCTGGGCTGGGGTCTACTTAGGCCTTTCTTGGTCCCCAAACCTAAAACACCTCCTCAAATTGCAGCCAAGGTGGGAGGTGGTAGCCACAGTCCGTTGTCCACCCACCGCCCTGCCCTGCTGCTCGTGGAGCTGGGGCCCGCGCCAACGCCCCAACCAAAATAGTGGCTGAGATCTGCCTGACAGCTGGCGTTTATTTTTGCGTTAGCAGAAGCGGATGGGAATTAGCACCTGCCTGACCCGGCTGTGGGGAGCCAGACGCTGTCACCTGCTGCCTGGGCCCAGGCCCTGGCAGCTCCCGTAGGGAGGAGGTGGGGAGACGGCCTGATAAGGGGCAAGGCCTCTGCTGACCCTGCCTCTGGGCCCCCGGTTGGTGTCCTGGGCCTCCGTCTCAGGGGTAGCCTTTGCAGGCTGGTCTTATTCATCTCTTTGACCAGCACAGAAGAGGCTCAGAAGGCCGGTTGTCATTGCTAGATGACTTTGGGCATGTCCATTACCCCTCTGGGCCTCAGTCTGCCCATCTGTGATGTGGGTGGGCTAACACATCACACAGGTGTATCAGAACACATTGGGGGTGCCGCATTCTGGAGCCCAGTAAAGCATACAGTGCCAACCAGACTTCCACCAAGAGCTGTCACCCTGCCACCAGCAAAGCTGGGCCTGATGGCACCCACTCTGGACCCAGCCCTCTATTAACCCCTCATGCCCCAAGGGCAGGACTGCTCATAGACCAATCAGCAGAGAGGCTGCAGGTGTGCGGGAGCCGGGGGGGCCGTGACTTGCCCAGGGGTACACCTGAGGAATCTCAGAGTTCAGGCAGTCCTGCCCCCAGGGGTGTGGCTCCAGCACCTAGTCTCTCTCATCTCCTGCCTCTGCTCAGGGACCACCTCCTAAGGATCTGGTATTTTGGTGTTGATGCCCGTTCCGTTAGAGGGCAGAACTGGCCATGTGTGATCAGCGGTGCATTCCGCTGATCCCTTGGGGCACCCAGGTCTTAGAGGCGAGGCCACAGGTCCTATGACTTGGGGACCCCCACGTGCCAGGTGTTTCCTGGCTACCATGCACCCCGAGAGGCTCTAAGTCCCCCAGGACAGGTACCTCTGCAGCCATGGTGCCCCTCCCTCCATGGGGAGGGGTCTTTCTGGGCCTGGGGGATGTCGGGTTGCCCCCCAGGACAGAGTCTCAAAAGATGACTTTCCCTCAGGCTTCTGGCACAGCCCAGCTGGGGTGGGGTGCAGATCCTTCCTCTGCATCGTGTTCTCAGGTCCATCCTTCCAGATAGATGTGTCCAGGCGGTACCCGCCTGCAGATACACACAGCTGCCCTGGCCACCCCTGCCCACACCACTCACCCAGCTGCCGATGGCGCTCCCGTAGCTCCCGAGGGTCAAGGTGGCGGTAGGAGTCCCGGAAGTGGTGGGCCATGGCCATGTCCTCCAGGCGGTAGTGTGGGGGAGGTGGCGGGTGGGGCAGCCCGTTGCTGGGGCTGTAGCGCTGGGCGGGGCTCAGAGTGCATGGCCGTTTGCTGAGGTGGTCTGGGTGCAGTGGGTCCCGGTCTGACCCATTCTCTTTGGTCCTGGTCCAGAGAGCAGGTGGGGACAGTGGTCAAGGGACCACGAGCCATGGACCAAGGGGAGAGAGGGAGGCAGGGGCGTGGACAGAGTGAGCGAGCGGGAGACAGACCTGCCCGCTGGGGGTCTGGCGCCCCCTTCCCCTCCTTCTCAGGGGTGCGGGCTCCTGGGGCTTGGAGGTCAGGGTGCTCGGGTCTTCTTGGAGAGAGTGGGGAGAGACAGCCTTCCCTGGCAGCAGGACACACACCCGCACTGTGACCCAGCAGTGGGCGTCAGCCCAGCACCTGGGGACCCCGGGCCGCTGGACACTCAGGCACACCTGTGGGGAACTCCTGTCGGGCAGAGTCTCTCCTGCCTCCTCCCTTGTCCTCCCGGGGTGGGGTGATGGGCATCTGAGTCTTCAAGAGGCCTTGCCACGGCCAGAGAGGGTGGCCTCCCAGTGATCAGCCTGTGTGGTTAAGGCTGAACTTGACCAGCCCAGTGGCGGCAGCCACGGAACACAACACGGTTTCCACTGCTTTCTCAGCCCTGGCACTGGGTGCCTGCTGGGCCTCGGCAGGAGGGCAGCTCTCAGGAGTCAGAAGGGGAGGGCGCTGCCTGCTGCGCCCTTAGGTACCTGTCAGGGGTCCTCCGCTTGCCGTTGTCGTTAACCTCCAGCAGGAGCTCCGAGGAGTCGACAGGGGAAGAGGCGTCAGCATCCAGCAGGGCTTGCTCGTGCTGGGCCAGGTACTGTGCAGGGCTCTGCTTGGCCAGGCGGGCGCAGTGCAGGAGCTCCCGCTGCAGCAGGGGCAGGTTAGCCTGCGGGGGGGGCGGGACGGGCTTGGACTGTCTGCCGCCTGAGGTCAGGGCACAAGGGTGCTCAGATGTGAGGCGGGGAGGCTAATGGCCAGCATTGCTCTGTGACTTTGGGCAAGATGCACAACCTCTCTGGGCCTCGAATGCCTCTGCTACAGCTTGGGAATGAGGGCAAGACCATGCCCCCAGGGGATTTGGGGTTTTTTCCCATCACTAAACTCCCTTCTGCTCTGGCATCAGGAGAAGGCGAGGAGGGCTCCTCCTCAGGACCCACTGCCTGCATCCATGGGAGCAGGCCTTGGGTGAACCCCTCTCGGAAGAGAGGGTGAGGCTCAGAGCAGGGGGGCGGCCCCTACACTCAGCTTGCACCATGGAGGAGCAGGACCCCAGCACGCCTGCCCTGGATGGCTGGCCCCTGCCTTCCCACATCCTGTGGGTCCCCAGCCCGGCCTGGAAGGAAGGCTCTGTGTGCCCACATCACTGAGCCGACACGTGGTCACCTCCCGGGGGAGGGGGGTGGTCTGGACACGACCACTCGGCTCCACGTTTGTGGGTTAGGGCACCACAGCACAGGAGGGTGTGGTGTGTGTGGGGTGGGTACAGGATTCGAATGCAGATCTGGCCTGCAACAACCGGACGTGACCGCTGTGTCCTCCAGCCTCCGCCCTCACCAGGCTCTGGGCCTGCCAGCTGGGCTGCAGGGGGCTCTGTGGTCTTCCCAGAACCACCGTTGGGCAAGGGGTGCAGGCTGGATGGGGGCCCAGCGGCAGGCCACTCAGGACAGCCAGAGTTCTGAGCATTTGTAAATAAATGCAGTTCCTCAACTTTCTCATGGTGTTTCCAAGCTGCCTCGCAGCCCCTCCCACCTCCGCCTCCCCAGCCCCCGCCTGCCATCCACCCGGATGGATCAAGCAGCCGATGCATTTTTGTGAAGCAGCGCCGGCTGCCAGGCCTGTTTTTCTATTTGGATAGCTGAACAAGGGCCAGCCCGCCATCTGTTGAACACGTTAGGAGCATGAGCTGGGAAAGGAGGTCCCGGGAGATCGGAAGACGCCAAACATCCTCCCTCCCCCTCCTCTCCCGGCACAGCAGGGCGGGGACAGCACGGCTGGCCGCTGTCCGCCCGCCACCCATGGAAACATCTGGATTCCTGGCCAGCTGGGGCCAGCTGGGAGCGGGGGCCCTGGGCAGAGGGCCGGCCGGGTGGGTGGCATCTCCCAGCTCCTGGAAAGCCCACCACACAGCCACGCACAGTGTTGGGCTCAGGAGAGGATTCAGGGCTGTTGCGGCCCTGGGCTGGGGGAATGGGGACCCCAGGCTGGAAGAAATGGGTAGAGATTGGGGGGGCCTCATGTCCCTCCAAGACAGCAGCCTGAGTGCTGTCTCCAGGACTCAGGGCGCCTGGGATGCCTCACCACTGAGATGTGAACCCTGCTCTACTGCTTGATCAAAGGCTCCACCCTGCCCTCTTCCCAGAGGGGAACTGAGGCCGGAGGGTGACGATGTCAGTGGAGCAGGTGTCTCTCATGTAATGAGGGTTTATGATGTTTCTATCGTCTCCACTGCACACACAGCCTGAATGACTGGGGGCCCTGTGTCAGCCCACCCTGGCTGTGTGACTGTGGGCAGGTCACCTAACTTCTCCTGCCTCACCTGCAGCTGGAGCTGCGAGAAGCTGTGGCTCCTTCCATTCCTCCTGTGACTTTACTGGTCCAGTCCCACCTGGGGAGGTGGTGGTCACACCCCAAGGACCCGAGAGGGGACTGGGAAATGGGGGTTTCAATTACCCGAGGGCAGAGCTGGGTGTAAGCCTGGTGGACCAGATGCAGCTCCTGCCTCTTTCATAGGAGATGGCCCAGGGGGCCACCACGCAGGTGCACCATGGTGGGCCTGGGGGGGCCATCAATTCACTGGAAGGCACTGTCCTTGTGGCTCCCAGGTCACAGGTGGGAAAACCGAGCCCCTCCCCCCACACCAGCAGGCCGGCACACCCTGCAGGCTCCCCGCAGTGCTCTGCATTCTGAAGAGGCCAGGGTCCTACAGTGAATGGGGGGCAGGGGAGGGGCACTCCCCGGGCAGGGCTCTGGCCGGTGCCTTGTCCACAAGACCGGGGAACAGGCCTGACCTGCCCAGAAGCCCCATGTCAGGCAGGCGAATGGACTCTGTCCCTGACAGCACCTCGGTCTAGGGCCCTGGGCAGGGCCATGGGCATTCAGTGTGGCCAGCACGTCCCTCACCCCGGCTGCCTGCTACCGGGAGGGCAGTCAGGGCACCAGAGTCCTGACAGCACCATGGCCATGCTGAGGGCAGAGGGGACACCGAGGCAGGCGGTGCCAGGTTGGGTGTGCCCCTGAGAGGAGGCAGGGGGTGGCCGAGCTCAAGGGGCAGGGGGCTGCAGGCCTGGTTGGGTGAGAGCAGGGATGTGTCATGTTTTCCCTACTCCTGGGTAAACATGGGCAGCTGACACGGGGAGCGGCATCTGCTGTAAATATCTGATCTGACAGAAGAAGCAGGCGCACGGTGTCCCCAAAGATGGGGAGCGAGGAGTCAGCAGTAAGTTGAAAGGAGGAGCGGGAAGGGCTCCTGATGAATGCAAACGACTGCCAGATGGGGAAGCCTGGGCCCAGCTCAGCGTGAGCTCAGCAGAGTGTGGGCGGAGGGCAGGAAGGCGAGAAGAGGCAGCGGATGTGGGGGCGTGACGTGGGGTCCCCTCGGAGGAAGGTGCGGGCCTGGGGCACACCCTGTGCGGGCCGGGGGGCTTGGAGTCAATGGATTCTGGTACCCCTCCACGGGCGGGGGCCTCAGTTTCCCTGCCTGTTAACTGGACACAGTGGCAGTGTCTGTGCCGCCCCCTGAGGGCTGCTGGGTGCTCAGCGGGGGCAGCTGCAGAAGAGCTTTTCAGGGGATACTTGTCTGTGGAACCCCTGAAATCCCCAGATGAATGGAGCACACGCCAAATTCTTTGCCTGATCACTCCCTGCAACCTTCCTAACAGCCCGAGAATGGCTCCCAAGTTACAGCCGCAGACATGGATGCACTCTGTAAGTGGGACTCTCCTGGCCCAGGACTACAGGGGCTAAGTGGCAAAGTCAGGGCTTGAACCTGAGCACATCTGCTCTGGCCTGTCCCCTGGAAGGCAGGCCCCACTGGCACACAGCACGCATGGAGGGATGAACCCACAGCTGTGAGCATCACTGTGGCCCAGAAAACAAGAGCCCGAGTGGGGGATGTCAGCCACATTCAGGGTGGGGGCTTCCCAAGTGTGCTGTGGAACCTGACCTGGGGAGGTGAGAGAGCAGAGGTGCCTGTGATCAAATATGTTTGGGGAGCACCTTGTCTCCACCCGCTCTGGGAGATGTGCGGTGCTCACAGGGGAGCGAAGGCCCTGAGAAGTCCTGCAGGGCAGACTCGGGTCTGAGGCTGTCTGCACCTACACTCCTCCCGGTTTTGTGCTGAAGCTTTGCTCGGTGCTTTGTTCAATGCATATTCTGACTCCGGGGGTCTGGGTGGGGGGCCCGAAAGCCTGCATTGCTCACACGCCCTGGTGTAGCTGCCACCAACCCAACATCAACTGCTCCTGCCGAGAGGCCCTGGTCCACTGTTCATCTTCCATGATGACCACATCAGGTGGCTTCCCAACTGACACCCACTCACCCATCTGTTTGCTCACTTACGAATCAGTGGTCTGTCCACTGTCCCAATCCCCTCACTCTGTTCCAGGCACAGGGCCGCAACACAGCAGGCACACACACACCACACAGCCCCCACCTCAGGGCCTCTGCAGGCCCACCCCTGCTTCAGGGCCTTTGCAGGCATGCTCCCTGCTGCCTGGAAGGTTCTGCTCCTCGCTCTCCTTTTTCATTGAAATGCCCCCTGCCCGCAGCTCCACAAAATCTATGACAGGTCGGCTGGCACATAGCAGGGGCTCAGAACATAGCTGTTAAAGGGCTGAGTGTCCTGGCCACTAACCACAGGACTGGTCCTGGGAGCTGCATGTCAGAGCCTGGGGTCAGGAGAGGACGGCTCCGGCCCAGCAGCGGGTTTGTAGCAATCAGCCGATGGGTCAGCACTGCTCTCCCAGGGGGTGGGAGATTACAGTTTTGAGGATGGGGCTGATCTAAGCTGGCAGAGGATAGACTCAGGCCTCCTGGGGCCTCAGGGTAGGGAAGGGGGTTGGTCCGTACCTTCAGGAAAGGGATGACAAATGGCCGTAGTGGGAAGTTGGTGGCCTCCTGGAGCTTGGAGTGAAACTCCTCGATGGTCAGCGTGGAGTTCTGGGGAAGAAGACGCTTGGCTTCAGCCTGGAGAGGGGAGGGCAGAGGCCGAGGCTGGCCCGGCCTGGGGTCACCGTGTCCCCACCCGACTCACCACGAGCCCCAGCACCAGCGTGCGCACACGCTCCCCGATCTCTGGGGAGATGTCGCTGCCGAACTGCTGCAGGGTGGCCAGGAAGCGCTTGAGCTTGCTGAGCTGCCGGGCCCCACAGGCTGGGGGCAGCTGCTGTGTGGACAGTGCGGCCGTGCATGAGGTGGCCGGGCCATTGCTGAAGCCGTTGGGCGTGGACGGGGCGCCGCTGATGGCCGTGGGCGAGTGGCTGCTGCCGTTCATCACTGTGGGGGGAGGGGTGAGGATGCAGCAGAGCACCACAGGCCCCACAGACACCCTTTACATACATGCAGACTGAGGCCCCGGTGCAGGGAGGAGCTGAGCGTGGCCACCCTCCAGATGTGCCCCCGCTCAGCTGTCCTTCGGCCTTGCTCTGTGTTGTGCAGTCAGGCCCTCCACACCCAGAGATACCTGGGCCCTCCAGCTACCTGGCACCCATGCATCTCCTGTGAACAGGTGGAGGGGCTTCCCTTCCATCGGCATCTGCTGGCCCATCTTCTCATTCCCCTGAAGGTCAGTGACCCTCACACCCGTCATGATGGCCCCAGGCTGTGTCACAATGCCTACACAGACCCCACTGCCTGTATGAGGGCCCCAGTGCCAGGCTGACGGGGCTCAGGGTGGGCCAAGGGAGCCCAGACCCCAGGACAAGCTGGGCTGGATGCTGGCAGAGTCTGCTGCATGGCGGACATGTGTGCCCATGGGGCCTGCTGTGTGTAGAGGATAGGCTGGTGACCCAAGGGGTCTTAGATGAGCTTGTGCAGGGCCTCAGGAGCAGCACAGTGGGTCCCAGGGTGACAGACACTGGGGTGCTGTGAAGTGGTCCTGGGACAGGACCATAACCTCAGGGGAGCCCATCCCCAGGGGCAGGGAGTCCTCCCATGCCTGGCCACCTGCAACCTGCCTCCTGGCCTCAGAGCCTGCACAGAGGTCAGGGGTAGAGGGCTTCCAGGGTCCTTGATGACAGGCGAGGGGGCTCTGGACATGGACACCTCTGGGAGTCCCGCGGCGCAGCCCAAAAACTCAGCAGTCATTCACACCTCCGCAACCTGCTCCTTCAAGTTCGCATACTCGGCCTGTGTGGGCTTGCCTGCCAGCTCCTCCCTACGTGACCCTCCCCCTTACACACGCCCTTCATTCCCCACGCCTTCCCTCCCTTAGCATCTTTGCACGCACACTCATACAACATACCAAATACATGTGCACTCATGCTCATATACATATGAATACATGTACACACAACACACACATGCTTGCACACAGGCCCATATTCATCACACACATGCACACATGTAAGTGCACGTGGACAGAGTGCACACCCCACGTGCACAAAGATGTATGTATGTTCCCACACATGCACACAGACACCACAAACATACTCCCCCATAAACACTTGCACATGTGTACACCTGTGTGTGCACATAGGCACGATGCAGTGCAGCCCCACAGCACACACGTGTGCTCGCCCACCCATAGCACACACCTGGGCACACCAGCACAGTGAACATGTGCAGGTCAGCATGGTGCACACATACACGTACCAGCACAGTGTACACGCACCCACATGGTGCACACACAGGCACCAACACCGTATACACACACCCGCACGGTGCACACGCACATACATGCCCACAGAGCGCACATGTGTGCGTGCCTACACAGCACACATGTATGTGCACACACATACCTCTCACTCACTGCTGTGGTTCCCAGGCCTGGCCCTGCCCCCATTCCCCTCCACCCTGCCAGGCCTTGTCTGGCTGGGTCTGTGCAGAGGCTGTGAGCTCACATCTCGTGGTGGGGATTCTGAGGGTGCTCAGAGCCACTGCTCCCTCAGGGCTGCATTTCTCTGAGGCTCCAGCATCCCTGGTGATGAGGGAGCAGGGACCCTTTTCTCCATGATTGTGACGTTGCCGGGCTGGGCTCTGGGAAGTGGCCCCTACAGAATAGCTACCTATAATCGCTGTTTACTTGGCCACCTTGGACAGCGGGCGTGTCAGTTTGCCCCTCCAGACCACGCAGACCTGCCTTCCTGCCCTGGCTCTGGGGGTGACCTCTGCAGACTCTCTTGGCCTTGCCAGCATGGAAGGGCAGGAGCACGTGAGGTGGGACCACACGCCTGCCCCTCTGCCCTGGGCCTCGGCTCTCCCAGGGCTTGGCTCTCCAGGTCCCGGTTACCGGCTCTGTCCGCCCCTGCAGGCCCAGGGGACACAGCTCCTGCTGTCTCTAGCCCCATTCCCTGGGCTCTGGAACTGGCCCACCCTGTTAACCCTGAGTCTGCTGTCTGGTTGGCTCTGCCCACATCTCCAGCTTCCAAAACCCCTCGCCTGCAGCAACACCTGCAAACACTCTCTTCCCCTCACTGAGCAATAGTTCAGGGACCACCCCCCTAATCCACGGACGGTGGGCCTCACAGTCCCTGCGCCCTGCATGCAGTGTTCAAGGTTGCCTTCTGCCCCCAGGTGCCCTGGCACCATGACGCTCCTCAGTGGCAGGCTGACACAGCCCTGCCCCCCAAGTGCCCTGGTCAGGAGTGGACGTCCCAAACCAGCCAGACGTGCTGTGGGGGTGAGACTTGGTCCTGGCCTCAGTTTCTTCATCTGCAAATGGCCCTTGGCCCGAGCCAGAGGTGGGGTCTCAGGGCCAGGAGGACAGTTCCTGGCTCCCTCCGTCTCATGCCCCTGCTTGTAGAACACAGGTCATGCTTCTCCTACCAGAAGGGGCTTGAAATGCTTGACCTGACTGCTTTCACGTGCTGGGTGATCGCTTGTCCAGAACTGGCCCCCACTTGACAGACGTCTGGGAACCACTGATTGAAGGCCAGGGTCAGCACCAAAGCAGACGTGCCCCCTGCGTGTCCTGAGGAGGGCCGGCTGCAGGCAGGGGGCCTGCTGGGCCCCTCGCCCCGTCCTCCACTGGGCCCTTGGCGCTGCCGCTCCCTCCCCTGGAGACGCGGTGCAGGTTGAACTGTTTGCTCCCTCTGGGCTGGGGGACCCTAGGAGCTCTTTCTAGAACCCACAGGTGACACCCTGGCTCGGGGACAACCCTGAGGACAATGTGCCTCATTCTGGGGACTCCCTCTTTCCCGGGGAGGGGTAAGCTCCAGACACAGACAAGAAGGGCCCTGTCCCTCCGATCTGTGTCCCAGGATTCGGGGACCAGGAGACCCCACAGTTGTGCTACTTTTCTCTGTCACTGCGGAGCTCCACTGATCCCTCGGTGGACACCAACACACACACACACACCCCGATTGGGACTGATGACAGCCACTGGCGGTCACCCAGACAGGCTGGAGGTGGCCTGCTGCATGGGGACCTCACCATAGCAGGGCCTCCTGGCCAGCTGCAGCAGAGCTGGGCCATCACTTGGGGTCTGGCCTTCCAGGGGCTTCAAAGACCTGTGGCTGTCCCTGCTGCCTGGGCCCCCGCCCGGCGGCCCCTGGCCCGGCCTCCCTGTGGCGCCCTTACCCGCTGGCCCTCGGTGCCTGGTCCTCCCGCGGCTGGCCTGCCCTCGCTCGCCGAGTTCCCTCCCGGGCTGCCGGGCAGTCTCAGCAGCTTGCTAAAGTGACGCCGAAAATAACCCCCGGCCACAAGTGCTTTCATTCCCACAACAGGTGTGTTACTAAGATAGACCACACGTGTCCCGGCCGAGGTTTTTGGGGGCACGGAGCAGCACCCCCACGGCTCCCCCAGGCCCGGAGCCTGGGCGGGGTGGGGGGAGCTTAGGATGAGGCATCAAAAACAGCCCCTCCTGCCAGCCCCCAGCCCGCCCTTGGGCACCATCCTCCTGGCCACACAAAGCACCCAGGCCTGGCAGTACCGCAGCTCCATGGACACACAGGGCCCCAGACGAGGCCACACACCTGGGCTTACATCGCTGCGCGTGCAGGCTGACACACTCCCAGCATCGCCCTGCAAGAGCCTCCCCTATGGCACCAGTGCAGCCCGAGCACTGTGCTGGGAAAGTCCACTGGTGACCAATGCCTGTGGAGCACGCTGCATGTGCCGGGGACTCCCATGACGTGACCAGCAACCCTGGGGCTCCGTGTCGTTGCCCTCAGCGCTGGGCCCGTGACTGCTTTTCTACAGGTGGGGTTCCCTGCCTGAGGACAGAGTGCCTGCAAGGGTAAGAGCAGGGTCTGCCCTGGGAGAGGCTGCGGACTTGCTACTGGCATTCTACCATCCTGCAACTCTGGGACCTGCCTGCTTTGCCCAGTTCTGAGGTGGGGAGATGGAGGCTCAGAGAGGCCATCCACCTGCCCAAGGTCACAGTGTGTGGGCGGCAGGGCTGGGTATGAATCTGGTCTGTGGGCTGGGGACCCCACCGCTCAGTCCTCCTGGTAGGCCCCTGGGCCCTTGTTCCCTAAGGGAGGCCAGCCCAGCATGGCAGATGCAGGGGGCGCAGACAGGGCGGTAGGCACTGGGCCAGGACCTCTGGGAGAACAGTGGTTTTTGTTATTTTACTTACAGAGACAGACCATAGACCATTTTAAGCAGCCATGAAAACGGCCATGGGGCAGAGACATCGCAGGCCCGTCCTCTCGATCTGTAAGCAAAATAAGAAAAACACGCTGTGAGGAAGGAGGCTGGGCTCCGGACCCCACCCGGGGGGGTGTCTGCAGCCAGCCCCTCCCCTGCCTCTCAACAGCGTTTTGGGGGTTGGGCCTCTGTCACCACCTAGGCCCAGTCCACTCCCTTCTCTGGGCCTCGGCTTCCTCGTCTGTGAAATGGGCGGGTCAGGGATCTCTTGGGGCCACTTCTGGTGGGAATTTCTGGGGCTCAACCGGAATTCTGGCTGCTCGTGGGCATGAGTGGGACACCTTGGCTCTTAAACAGCTGTTTCTGGAAGGTGCCTGGTAATCCCACTTGGCACCATCCTCAGGGCCCAAGCTGAGGGGCTGGGGGTTTCCATCGACAGACAAGCCAATGATGGTTCCAAAACAAAGGCCAGGTCTGAGCTGCCGTGATGGGTGGAAGCACCAAACAGGAGGAGAGATTTGATTTGTCTGAGCTGAGGTCAGTGGACAAAAGCCACAAGGAGAAAAGCCGTACCACCGAAAACAGAGTGTGTGCCCCCGTCGCAGGGGGTGAGAGCAAGATGGAGTGTTTGCCACGTAAGGGTCCTCCCAGCTGCAGAACAGCTCCTCACATCCCTCCCAGAGTTCTCCTGGCACTCCTGCCACCTTCCTGTGGCCACGCCACAGCTTCAACTCCAAAATAAATTTGTGCCCAGGGCAGTCACCGGGCAAGAAAAAAACCACAGCCCTCAAGCCGTGGCTCCCAGTCAGTCCCTGGTCAGCTTGGCTCGCAGGTCGGTCCTGGGGCAGCGGGGGAGGTTCTTGGCAGGAATCCACGGGCAGTGCAGAGGATCCGTCTACTCTGGGCACCACCAGCCAGGTGCACAGATGAGATGAGATGTTAACCTCATGTTAACACCCTGCTTTCAGGGAATTCCGAGGGTTAGTGAACAAACCTGAAGCCACCCCAGAGGCAGCCTGACACTCAGACAAAAGCTCCCAGCGGCCAGAGGGAACTAGGTGTCAGCTTAGAGAAGAAAGACCCGTTCTCTCATAGCTTCCATGCTCTGAATAGAGCTGGGACCCTGGCCAGAGGGAATGGACCCCACACCACACATGGCCCTGCCACCACACATCTGTTCACCAGGCCCGGTGGCATCTGACCCCAGCCTCATCCGCAACCTGGAACATCTGTTTCCCAGACCAGTGCCTTCCGGAACACGGGCTCCTGGACTGAGAAGAAAGGCAGGCCACAGAGCCACGCCCACGAGGATCGGAGACCCTGGCTCGGAGCCTTGGCCAGGCCCTCCGAGGGTCCACTGGTCTCTCCTGCTTGGAACTACTTGGACAACAGAGTGGGGGCGTCATCATCCCAGGGGGACCTGCTGCTGCCCCGTCAGGAAAATTCTTTTTCTCGCGTGGGCAGCACGGACACCCTGGGCTGCATGGACACCCTGGGCTGCACGGATGTGGGTGAAACTCAGCCAGGCCGGAGCCTTCCCTCTCTACTGGTGAGGATGGATGGGGCAGCTGCAGTCAGTGGACAGAGATCGGCCTGCAGTTCAGCCCGAGGTGAGGACTGACTCTTCCGGAGAAGAGGGAGGGGTAACCGGCTGGCCAGAGTCCCCAGGAGAACAGTGAGTGAGCAAAGTCCGGCCACCTCTGGCCCCTCCTGTGTGGCCAGTGCAGGCCGGGCACTGAGGAGTGGACGGCAGGGCCCTGTCTTGAGGCAGGAGGCAAGTGTGGGGACACGGGCTCATCCCAGTGTCCATCATGTGTGGGGACCCTGGCTCAGACTGACCCCGCTGGGGAGAGGTACTGGAACTGTTTGTGCCAGACAGTCCTGTGTTCAGGTGGCCGCACCTGGGAGCAGGTGACATTTCCCTGTTTACCAGCAGAGACCAGCATCCTGCAGCAAGGGACCTAGCTGGACCCCTCCTCCAGATGGGGGCCACTGCCTAGCCTCTGATGGCAGCACCAGCATCATTCACAACCAGGAACAGACAGAGCCAGGCTGGGGCCTGGGCTCTGGGAAGAGACATGGACCCCGGTGAGCAGGATGGGGCCTGAGGAACTTGGGGGCGGCCAGGGGCTGCCAGGCTGAGGAACTAAGGTTCCTGCTCCACAGAGGGCCTTCATTTGGGTCCGAAGCCTGGGGAAGGGAGCCCTAGTGTGGGGCTTTCTGACCTCTGAATGTGCGGATGGTGAGGCACGTGGATTGCCCAGAAACACTTAGGACACATTGCTGAGCCCCTGGTCTTAGGGACAGGGAACACTGTCTCCCACACAAGCACAAGCTGGGGGTCTCCTTCTCAACTGCTCCGACTCAAAGGCCCAGGGCTCCAGGGGTGGCTGTGGACTCCGCAAGCCCACCTACACCTGCTGTGTGCACCAAGATGCTCAACTGTGGTCCAGTGCCCGTGAGGCACCACCTTGGGGTATGGTCTGCCTACCTTGTTGCTGGCAGCTAAGGGCCTGTGGACCCAGTTCCTGGCCCACCCACACACCTGGCTCAGGACTGGCCGCAGGGCTCTTCCAAGGGCAGAAACGCCTCCAACTGCCCCTTCACGGGGTTCAGGCCAAACAGGATTCGCCCACATGCAAGTAGTCTGCTGTGTGACCATGCAGAAGTCCTCGTCCCTCTCTGAGCTCCAGTATAGCACCTGACCTTGATGGAGGGCTCACCATGTGCCCGCCCCGCTGAGAATTATTAACTCATTCGTCCTCACAGCAGCTCTGTGAGGCAGGGCCATGGCCAGCCCCACTTTCCCAGTGAGAAACACCAGGCCCAGAGAGGTTAAGAACTTTCCCCAAAGTCACACAGCTACCAAGTAGAAGAGCTGGGGTCTGAACCATAATGAGATCCTCCCTCTCAAAGGCCCAATGCGGGGTCGTTTACAGGTCCAGGTGAAAGTTCGGACCTCAAATGGCTCGAGGGACACCCCCACCCAGAGGTGACTCTTCCCACCGCCCCCTTGAGACCCAGCCCTGGGGTTACTCACTTGTGTGGGGTGTGAAGGAGGGGTGTCGTGTGGCCCCCTGGGATGCGGCAGGTGGTGGGGGTGGCATGCTGGGGGGCGTGGCCCGGGGCTGCGTCTTCACCTCAGCTGGGGAGTCGGGCATCGCGGTGGCCTTCTCCTTTCTGTCTGCTGTGGACGCCACCGGGGTGGGGGACGGGAGAAAGAGACAGACAGCAGGTGAGTCAGGCCAAGGGGTAGAGGGATTGGCACTGCCCAGGCCCACTTGCTTCCTGGGCGAGGCCCCAAGCAGCTGGAGCCCAGGTGGGGGACACTGCCCACAGCCCACCACGGAGAAGACCCAGGTTTGCTCACAGGTGGCTGGCATCCCACCCACCTGGGATCAGACAGCAGGATGGGTCAGCCCATTTCCGGTACGCTGGAGGGCGTAGCTTCGAGAACCTGGGCCGCCAGAACAGGCCTGGGGTTCTCATTGTGGGGGTGACCCTGGGTAGCTTGGGTTTTCTCAACTGCAGACCAGGGAGTCAGGGAGCACCCCCTGAGGCTGTGGTGCCCCCACTTCCTTAATCAGCAGCTTCTGGAGGGCCTGTATGGATGACCTCCCCACCCCCATTTCTTATTCTGCAGGTGCGGGGCTGGCCTGAGACTCTGCATTTCTAATAGGATCCCAGGGGAAGCTCTCGCTCAGAGACACCCTAGCATTATCCATCCTAGAGCAGATGCTAAAAGGCACGTCTGGGGGTCTTCCCCAGGGAGACTGGGAGGCGAGAACCTGTATTTTCACCGTTTCCTGGCCCAGGCGACACCTGGGACCAGCCAGGCCAAGGACACATTTGATTTCAGGCCATTTTAGGCCTGGCCATCCAAGTGTGATCCACAGAGCAGCAGGTCCTGCCCGGATTCTATGTCAAAGATTCCACAGAATCCCGCTGTGTCAAGGATTCTGATGCTCTGCTAGGAGCCAGGGTGTGGAGACAGGGTGGAGATGGGAAGGAGAGACCCCAGCCTGACATGCCCCGGAGCCCCTGGGCCCACAGAGCAGGCCCTGGGAAAAGGCCTCTGGGTGACTGACCGTCCACGCGAACCTGAGGCAGCAGCTGCCCAGGTATTCTCAGCTTGGGGAGGGAGTGAGCCTCTGGGCCACCCCCAACCCCTACCCGCCCGGCCCCAGCTCAGCGTCAGCCAGCATCCGGCGACCGCAGAGACCTGGGAGGGCGGCTGTGACTACAGGTGGGCGTCCCCGCCTGTTACAAACTGGCCCAGCCTGTGCTGCCTGCCCGCTCCCCACCCCCACCACTGCCCATCCTGTTAACCCTGATGGGGTCTCACCGGGGGCCAGGGGGTGACGGGGCTGGGCTGGACACCTGTCAACACATTCACTTCTTCCCCTCCTCCTCCCAGGGGCCCCACGTGATCTGGGCCGCCCGCCTTCATGGACAGTGACAGCGACAATAAAGTGTTTGTGTCCCAGACTGAGCAGACCTCCTTCCTTGCCCCCACGTCCTCCATACTGGGAGGAGACGCCTGCAGCACCCCAGGGCCCCTGAGGTGGGAGCAGAAAGCCCCCTCCTCACTGTCCCCACGGAGGGGGAAGCAGCCAGGCTCCGGCAGCCACCGGGCCGCACAGCACCTGCTGTGCCCTCAGCTGTGGCCGCCCCCGCCCCCCCCCGCCGGGCGCCCTGCCCCCTGCCGCCGCCTGTCAGGAGCTGACGGCCGGGCACACGTGCGCTGCAGCTGTGGGGGCCTGTCAACACCATGCCTGGCTGCAGGGCCGGTGGCCAGTCCCCACTGACAACCAAAGAAGGCAAACGTGGCCAGCGCCACAGGCCCTGGGCCACCCCTGCGGGGTGCAGTCCTGCCTGTCCTGGCCAGCCCTTCATCTGACCAGGCCATGCTAGGGCAGGCGGTCCCGCCAGCAGGCTGTCCAGGGAGGGTACTGAGGACGCCAGGCTGGGACGCTGGGGACATGGCCTGTTTTGACCTTTCCAAATCCTTCCATGCAGGGGCTTTGCTGGAGTGTCACAAGTGGAGCAGACCAGAGACCCCGGCTAAGGGGGGCATAGGGGAGGGGTGGACCGAGTGTGCCTGCGTCGCATGGAGCCTCTCACCCATCCCTCGGGTGTCTATAGGCCCTGAGGGCAGAGCTCCAGGCTGCCCACCTATGGAGGAGACATGCATGCACTTGGTAGATGAGTCATGGCTCCTGTTATCGTCAGGAAACCCAGCACAGGGAATGCTGCTTCCAGCCCCGTTTTACAGGCACAGAGAGGTGCAGCCATCTGCCAAGGGCACGCAGCACATATGGGTGCGTCCCCACAGGGCACACGAGTCCACAGGGTTTCAAGGACTGGTTTGCATCAATGAGAACTCTCCTTGCAGGAGAGGAATCAGACCCAGGTGGATGGAGGCTGCAGGTTAGTGGGGGTGCATCCCCACCTCCTACACTGGGTCTTGGGTCCCTGGGCTGCACATGGTGGGGCCACGGGTGCAGGAAGCCTCACATATGTTGAATATTGTTTGAGTCTGGCTCTATTGCCTGATGGCTGTGTGACGCAGGGCAAGTCACTTCACCTCTCTGAGCCTTTCTACTCCTCTGTAATGGGTGATGGTGAGCTCTCAGTGCAATCAGGAACGGTTTATGAAGCAATGTGAGGGCTGGGACCCTGCTCTTGAGGTTGCCCTCAGCCCAGATCCAAAGCAGAGCATGACAGAGACCCTCAGGAAAGAGCAAGGGTGGTGTGAAGATGGCCAGGAACAGCACAAACGCCAGCAGGAGCGCACGGGCCTCTCTCTAGTCATGCAAAGAATCCGGACAAAGCTGGCAGGCAGTAGGGAGCCCATCAGGGTGTGCACAGGCGTCACCTCTGCCGCCTGAAACCCTCAGCAGTTTCCACTGCACATGGGGCTCCCGGGGGCCTCCCGCCAACTCCCCTTCCCTCCTGGGGCTTCAGCTCTGACCTCACGTCCTCAGGAGAGGTGCCCCATGTGAGGGTCTTTGGCTCCCCTGGAATGTGATCCCCTCTGAGACGACCCTGCTTCCTGACCGCCACCACCTCCCCCACCTCAGGATCTCTGGCTGGGCTGGCACTTCCCGAAGGCCACCTGTGCACATGCCGGAGGCCAGGGCAGGACCCAAGAGTGAGGTCACTGCTGGGCAGCCCTCTGAGAGGAGGGGGCTCCATGCTCAGTGCCTGGAGGGGGCAGGTCAAGGGTCCTGGCTGCCCCAGCCCCAAGGTGGGCCGACCCGGGGGGCTGTGGATGCAACCACAGCTCACCCTGGACACTTGCCCTCCTCAGGGCTGGCCAAGCGAGGACAGTAGGGTGTGAGGGGGCTAGAGGCCCACCCTCCGGATAAGTGGCCACCTCTAAGCCAGGCTCCCTGTGTCTACATGGGCACACTTGTCACCCACCTCCCGGGGTGCAGCATGGGTCAAAGGAGACGGAAAAGAGTGCTTAGCGGAGGGCAGGGCACCCACCATGGTCGTACCATCATGGTGGCAGCTGTTAATTGCTGTTATTAATTACTGCTCTCTCTCTCCACCTCTGCAGCCCCGAGCTGTGTGTGGAGGGGCCAAGCCTGCCCGTCTGCTGGCCTGCATGGTCTGAGGGCACATGGCTAACAAGCTGCCAGATGGGCAGCCTCAGTCTCTTGAGTGCTGGCCTCCTGACCTGCCCCTAGCCCCTTCCAAGGCCCAAGACCCCCAAGGGCTCTGGCACAACCTGAGTGCCTGTCTGGCCACCCCATAGGGCCACCCAGGGGGGACCCTGAGCCCACAAACCAGCGTGAGCAGGAGCTGGCCAGGTCGTGAGGGCTGGGTAGGGGTCCACTGCGGGGTGCTGAGGGCCAGGAGGGCGGCAGCTCCCACTGCCGTAAAGACTCCTGAGGGTGCCAGCGTGGTCGGCAGGGCACAGCTCCCAGTGAGGTCCAGACTCCACCCAGAAGCCTGATCCGGCCACGTGAGGCCGCTCTTTCTCCTCCCCCACTCTCAGGTCCTCCACCCTCCAGGGTCCACTCCCAAGAGTCCCAGCCCCGGGGGAGCCGGGTCCTGTGCCCTGCACGTCCATGCAGCCTCTCGTTGCACCCTCATGCCCTCCCCAGAAAGTGCCATCAGTCCCTGTGCCTGCCTGTGAAAGACACTGGACATGTCCGTGGGACACCCTCCCGGCTCGAACTGTCCCCCCATACCCACTCTGGGTCCGTTTCCCCACTCCTGACTCTGAAGTCGTTGGGGACTCTCAGCCCCACAGACATCCCCACCCCAAATCAGGATATCCCCTGCACAAGCCCCCTTTAAGGGAGCTCTGACTTAGCAGGTCAGTGAGGGGCCCTGGCAGCTGGACCTATGTCTAGCTTTAAGTTCCTTCACTTTTATAAGATTAACATATAAATAACAGCTTCCCAGGCGAGGGCTTGGCACGTGTCCCATGCACATCAGCGTGCCCACTGAGGGTCCCAGGGACGACTGTGACCCGGAATGCCACACCCTGTAGGAGGACTCAATGCGTCTCCACAGGGGCCCCCATCAGGCCCACTTGTGGATGGGGAAACTGAGGCTCGGGGAGGCCAAGTGTCTTGTTCAGGGTCTCAGAGCCTGACAGACAGCAGGGCCTGAGCCTGGGGCTCTCCAGGGGTGGCTCAAGCCCCAGATTCCACCACTGCCTGGGAGATCAGAAAGTTCTGCAGCCACCTCGTGCTCCCTGGGGAACATCATGTTGGCCGACCAGACACAGAAAGGCTGGCTGCCTGGGTTTGGGGCTGGGGTGGGTTTGCTGCTCCAAGTCAGTGGGTGACACCCCGGGTGCCCCAGCTTTGTGGCAGGTTAAGTGCGAGGACCATCTTCCCAACTCTCTTAGGCTCTTCCTAGGTGTCAGAGCTCCGGGAAGGAAGAATCGGGGCGGCCTCAGCATCCCTGGGCCTCCGCAGGCCCCATCAGCAGTCAGGGGCCATGGCGACCATAGGACCCCATAGAGAAAAAAGTGGGAGGTGGGGTGGAATTGGAGAAGACACGTCTGGGCTTCTCCCTGACCAGGGTCCCTGTCAGCTCCCCAGGAGCCCGGAACAGCGGCCCTTATGCTGGTGTGTGTTGGGGGGAACTCTCGGGGTGCTGGCCCCTCCTCCAGGGTCCCCTCCCCGTGTGCTCAGGGGGCAGGGATGCGCCAGGGGTCCAGCC